CTTGTTTTAGTTTTTTGGACTGTCTCCTCTCCCGACTGCAGGGGTGAAGTAGTCTGCATTTATTTGGCTGCGTATCCACTGAGTTTTTTCCTTGCGCGCCTTGATTTGTATGGAGTGGTAGTATGGGGAGCAGTCACGGTGTTCCGTAACCTTCATGTGCTTTGCTAGGTGAGTCGGCCGTGGCGAAAAGTCCGGCCTCATCTTGTGGCCGTAAATGAGCACCTTCAAACCGCCGAGGCAGTCGCTGCAAGCCATTGCGACATGAGGAGAGCAAAGAGCAGGCACTTCAGCATGAGCCGCCCCTCATGCTCGTTGCGACCTAGATTGGAAGCCAACTTGTTGATGCGCAGAACCCAAAGGCACTGGGATTAATGCAATAAAGACGCCCATCCCCAGTACGTCATTTGGCAACGTGAACGTGGCCGGTTCCATATACATCTCCCTGCAGCCGACAGGTGAGCCGTGAGAAAACCGTCATGAATTCATGGTCGGCATCAAGAGAAACAACCGCACTGACAGCAATTTTACACAGAAAATGACTTCCCTGCGCTGCATGCCCCAGCAATTAAACAAATTCTTGCATTTGATAACTTTGCATTCGCTAATAAGCCCCCTTTACCAGGACCCTCATTCACCCATAAATCGGTCCAGGTTGCTTAAGGTTGAGTTTCAGCTGATGGGGCACTTTTCGTGCTTTGCATTTGTAGGAAATCTGCTGGCTGAAAGTTGGTAATTATCACCAAAGGGTTCGGAAAAAGGGGTTTGGATTCGCCCCCTTGTTGACTAAATAGGTTTGTCAACTTGTTTGTTCTGCACATACGCGAATATATATATATATATATATATATATAGAGAGAGAGAGAGAGAGAGAGAGAAAGAGAGAGAGACATAATATGCGTATGCAGTTCCCTCACTCCCCCCCCCCCCCCAGGAATTTACGTTTACAAGTGAGAAACCAGTACATGCGCCGATTGTATGCGATCGGCTTGATCGACCTCAATCGGCGTGGTTGAATTCACCAGGGATGATTGAAGTTGCCTCAGGATCTTCAGTTCTCAATCTTCGATCCGGCCTGATTGAATTCAATCGGAAAGAGCAGCAGGAGTCGTGGGCGCTTGAGCCAAAATGGCTAAATTCCGAAGCCAGGGTTAGGGTTTAGGGCTTAGGATTTAGAGTTTAGAAGAGGGGAAAAAAGGTTTGGGGATCAGGTTCATCGTAGACTTTGGGGTGCCATTTTTCCTCAGAGATGCATTCATTTGGTCCCTTCGGTGATCCTCTGGGATTGAATGAAACCAGGACACGCTGCAATCACTGCAGCCGGAGGAAGGAGGGGGGGGGGGCGGGCTCCAGATATTCGCTGAGGGCAAGCACCCACAGATACTTGAAGAATTCTCCTTGGGGGGAGGACGGAGGGGTGGCCATGGGTACTAGTACCCCCCCCCCTCCCCTGGCTCTCAGTCTGAGTAGTAAACCCCCACCCCCCCTCTCTGCTGGTCGATCTCTCATACAGACACACTGTCCACTCCTGAACCCTTCAGGGGCCCGACTTAAGTCCAGGCCATCCATTTCTGCCATGGCATCCTGGCTTTGGTGCGTCTTCGGATTTTCAACACAATCTCCCAAAGCCTGCCACCGGTTGTTCCAGGCAGCCTATAACAAACCAAGCTTTGGATCAAAAGAAATCAGTGAAGCATAACGCCTAAGTGAATCAACCCAGCGACTCACAAAGCCAAAAGCCCTAATTCAACCACAAACCTCCTAAGGCACAGCATTAACCCTGCTCCTCGTCCTGATTTTGGACACCGCATTTGGGCGGGGTCACGCATGCTCCAAACCCTCAAAACTTCTGACACCTCAAAGGTCTAACTAGTAAATCCAAAGCCCCAGTTAGAATGCCTTTAACAACATCAATGAACCTCCACATTGCTGGGGATTAGCACAACTGTGGCACGCAGGGCCCCAATGATAGACGTGCTAAGGTTCAGGGCTTAAACATGCATCTGACCTGCACCCAACAATGCCTGAACCGAAAATCGTAAGCCTTGAACACCTCAGGCAAGGTTTTTCAGAAACCCAGAGAGAAGGATACCCCTTTTTGCTTCATGCGGTGTCTTGGGGGTTCGAACCTACCAAAGCATGGGTAAACCCTGACCCCTAACCCCCAAAACCCTAAACCCTAAACCCCAGCAGGTTTCACATAACCGTTGGGCAGAGCGGCCCTGGGTACTGTGTCCACGTCCAGTTCTCGGATCCGCTGAGGCCTTAGGGTTGCGGAATGCCGGGTTTAGGGTTTAGGGTTGTATAAGGGTTGAGGGTTTATGTCCGGGTTTAGGGGGGTTTGAGGGCTCAGGGGGTTAGGGATTGGTGGTTTCTAAGCTAGGGCTTCGGGGGTTAGAGTTTTGGGGGTGTGGGGTTAACGCCGTCAAGGGCTTTGCGTGTCGACGTGGGGTGCAGGGGGCTTGTAGATTATTTTGGGGACAGGGTTCGTCGTTGCGAATTTGGGGTACGGATTTTTGGCGAGAGTTGCTGAACGCCTGCTGCAAGAAAAAGCCAAAGCCCTTCGCCTTCTTATCCCTTTAGTAACTGAGGCGGGAATCATGCAAGGGTTCAGGGAGTATAGAGTGTGGGTGGGGTTTAGGCGGGTTAGGGAATGGCGCACGCTCCCCACCCCCCCACCCCAAACCTTATGCCTTCCACCCTGCACCCTCCAAAGAAGTAGGGCTTCGGTTTTGGGTCCCTATGCCAGAGACTTCATTCCACACAGCCTAAGACACCCAGAAAACCCAAAAAACTTCACAATCTCCAGTATCTAGCAGCTCAGTGGTCCCTTACATTGAAAAACCCTTGCATTCGCAACATGTGTCGCTCAACCCCCCTATACCCAGCAATCGGCAGAATGCAGAACAAGGGGCCTGTTGTTTTGGGACTATGCGTGCACTGCAATTCTGGCTACTTGGGCCACCCTAAGCTTGGAACCTAAACCCTCAACCCTAAACCCTAAACCCTGAAACCCTGAAACCCTAAGCCCTAAGCCCTAAGCCCTAAGCCCTAAGCCCTAAGCCCTAAACCCTAAACCCTAAACCCTAAACCCTAAACCCTAGCCCTAAACCCTAAACCCGAAACCCGAAAGCATGGCAAGCTGGGGCCCCGAGGCATGGAGCCATCCTGTGGCAAGATCCACCTCCCCTTCTGATCTGGGAGACCTTTTGGGATTTAGGGTTTAGGGTTTAGGGTTTAGGGCTTAGGGCTTAGGGTTTAGGGTTTATTTCGCGGAGGGCTTCAGGCCTTTGGGGGTCGGGATGTTCTCCCATATACTAACAGGAAGACTGTACCCCCTAGCATACTCCCGTTTAAGGGCTGTTCGTATGAGAGCGAACATCCCAACTTTGGCGTGTTTAGGGCTTCAGGGCTTGGAGGTTCTAGGGCTTGGGGCGGTTTAGGGCTTAGGGAGTTGGCCTCCATCCAGGCGGAAGACAGGATCACAAATAGCTTGTCTTATCCCTGTGCAATGCCTACGCAAGCATACCTCTACTAGACCTTGAACCCATATTGCTACCCCAAAAACGCATGCGCATGTACATATACATAAGTATGTGCTTTCTGAAGAAACAGGTGATTTTGGAGTGTTTGTTGGAGTGGAGTTTAGGGTTTAGTGTTTTGGGGCTGTAGGGTCGTGTGGAGAATGGAGAGGTCAAGCGGGCGTTGCAAGGAAGCTAAACTGCCAAAAAGAGGGCCGTTACTGGCTTTCACGGTTTTATGTACCCGAAGACCACGACCCTCATCTCCCGATGACTCTGCTACCTCTGCTCAGACATCAGGCAAGGTGAGATGTCAGTGCCCCTGAAACCCGAAGTCCCCAAAATCCCTAGAACAAGCCTCTAAGACCCATGCTACCTAGCTGAGGGGGTTTTGGGCTGAGCTTAAAGTCGATGGGCGCTGTCACGTAGGGTACTCAGCCCCCTGCCCAGGGCGCTGCACAGACATCCAAGGGTCACTTGGATCAGGAAGCTCTCCTGCGTGCTTCACGCTTCTCAAGGTTGTTGGGTTGTTCAGTTTATGCTAAAACCCCCCAAACCCAAAACCCTAAACCCTACTCCCTAAACCCCAAACCCCTTAATCGTCTAAACCAGAAGCCAGAAGTTGTCAGCCTGAGAGGCGCTACCCAGACAGTGCCCACTCCCTGGAGTGCCCAACCCCAGGGACTCCCTGAAATGCACAACCTCAAAAACTCCCTGAAATGCTCCCTGGAGTGCCCAACCCCAGACTTCCCTGAAGGTGGGGATGTTCGAAATACAAAGTTTAGGAGGTTGCGGTTCAGGGCTCAGCATTCAGGCCTCTGGGAGCCATGCCTCAATGTTACGAGGGCTGAGGGTTTAGGGTTTATCAGGAGTTCTGAGGATACTTTGGCGTGGGCGCGTCAGGTTTATCGGGTAGGGGCTTGTTGGTTGTTGCGTGTAAAGATTTGGGGCATTGGCAAGACCCTAAATTTGGGATGTTCCCCCTTATACTAACAGTCCTTCATGAGGACTCTACTAGGGGGGGTACTATAATCCCTATTAAGGACTGTTAGTAGAAGGGGGAACATCCCGACCCTGAATCCTAAAAAGGCAAACCACACGCCCTAAACTCTGAACTCCTCGTGCCCCCCATCGCTCAAAGCCCAACCTCCTGAAAAAAAAACTGAACGCCCGTCTGCCCTCAAGCCTAAACCTTAAAACTTGGCACTCCAAGAACCGCAAACCCTCAGCTCGAACCCTAAACCCTCAACCCTAAACTCTAACAGCCTGAAAGCCCCGAGCCGAGAAAGCCTTAGCAGAAAAGGCACGGCTCCTCCTCGGCATCGTTGAGCCTCAATGGCATGGCCCGCTTTCTCCAGGGCCCCGAGCTAAAAACATGTATGCGTTGTTATTGTTATTGTTATCATGAACATTTTGTGTTTTGGATCTTCTTCGTTTTTTTTTTTTTTTGGGGGGGGGTCTCTGTCATCATACTTCAATGAGCTATCTCCGAGGCTCCAAGGCTAGCTGATAAGGGGATATTAGTTCCTATATGATAGACTCCGGTGTGCTTGGAGGTTCATGGACGTATTGACCAAGTATAACTGTCCTTATAACCCAATGATAACCCTTATAGGGTACTTAAGTAAGGGGCTTATAAGTGGACTCAGGTCCCCAAAACCCCAAACCCCAAACCCTAAACCCTAAACCCCTAAACAAACCCTAAACCCAAAACCCAAAACAAACCCTGTACGTGTGTGTGTGTGTGTGTGCTGAGGACGTAGGACTTGTGGTTTCAAGCAGCTCTCAGGTTGGCTTTCGGCTCTTCAGGGGGCTCGCCTCCTAGGCCCTTGCTTACCAGCGCTCCTTGAGGGCTAGAAGAATACCACAGATAGGGAAGTTAGGATTCTTTATGAAGAAAAGGATAGTATGGTAGGTTATAAATAACTGTGAACCTTAAGCAAGTGGAGCCCAAAAAACCCAAAACCCTAAACCCCAACCATTCAAGCGCCTCGACCGTCACCTCAACCATAAGCGCTCCAAGCCCTAAACCCTCATGCCCGATCGCCTAGCTTACCCTGAAACTCCAAGCCCTGTACATCCTAAACCCCAGATCAGAAGCCCTAAACTCTAAGCTTCTAATCCTAAACCCTAACCTAAACCCTAAACCCTAAACCCCAGACCCCAGACCCCAAACCCCAAACCCCAAACCCTAAAGCCTAACAGACCAAGCGAAAAGATAAAAAAACTCTCCCGGGCCCCCGAGCACTGTGATGTTTGCAGGGGTCATGGCCTTCACCAACAGCTCGGCCTGGGCCTGCGCTCTAAGCCCTAAACCCCGGTTAGGTTTAGGGTTTAGGGTTTAGGGTTTAGGGTTTAGGGTTTAGGGTTTAGGGTTTAGGGCTTAGGGCTTAGGGCTTAGGGCTTAGGGCTTAGGGCTTAGGGCTTAGGGCTTAGGGTTTAGGGTTAGAAGGTTTAGGGTTAGGGTTTAGGGTTTAGGGTTAGAAGGTTAAGGGTTTAGGGTTTAAGGTTCAGGGTTTAGGATATAGGGTTTAGGGCTGAGGGTTCAAGACTTGACGTTTAGAGCTTAGGGTTTCGGGGTTTCCGGCTTTAGCCTCAAGCTGAAGGCAGTCGCTACTTACGGTCGCTTAGTCTGGGAATGAAGGAAAGCGTTACAATTGCTAGTGTTCTTGCTGGTTACCCTAAACCCTAAACCCTAAACCCTAAACCCTAAACCCTAAACCCTAAACCCTAAACCCTAAACCCTGAACCCTAAACGTTAGTAGGATTTAGGCACCTCGCATCCCCTTTACGTATATACCCTTAAATTTAGGGATTACCCAGGTACCGCATCCCCTGATTCACTGTTCCTTCTTCCCTGAAAAGCAACAGGAAGCGAAGAGGCGGGCCTCTCAGTTTGGGGCTCAGGGCTTAGGGTTCAGAGACTGTTTCGGGTTCAGGGTTCCAGGATGGCTTGGGCCCTGAGAGTTTAGGGTTGTGGGTTAGGGCTTAGGGTTTAGGGTTTAGGGTTTAGGGTGGGGTCTCAGGACCTTCTGACCTCTGAGACACAGGAAACCCTAAACCCTACACCCTACACCCTACACCCTAAACCCTAAACCCTAAACCCCGAGCTCTAAGCTGCGAAACGGCTGAATTTGAACCTGTCCCAGGATGGCCCTCAACACCCTTTGAAACATTTTCCTAAACATGACCTAGGGTTTAGGGTTTAGGGTTTAGGGTTTAGGGATGCTCTTAAACACAATAAGGGAATCATATGAAATATCCCCAGGGCCTACCTAGTGAGCCCCCATGCAATTTTGAACATTCCAGGGTTTGTGGGGGCTTAGGGCTTGCGGTTTCGGGCTGCGGCTTTCGGATTTGGGGTTTATAAGGTCTAGGGTTTGTGCGCTAAACCCTAAACCCTAAACCCGCAGGCCTGGTAGGAGACGGTTGCATCATCAATCTCCATAGATATTTCACCCACTTCCTTCGCGCAGAGGTGAGGGGTGGCGCTAGCTAAGTTGCTGAGTTCATCCCCCCCCCCCCCCAAAAAAAAAAAAAAAAACTGTGTCAGTTCTATACGGGATTAGAGTATCCCAAAAAGTGTAAAGTGTGCTCATTCAGCTACTAAGCTTAGGAATTCTAGCGCTTAGGTTCTCCATATGGTGAGTTCTCTCAAGCAATTGCCCTTTCGGGTGTACCAGGGTTGCAAGGTGCTGTAAGGTAACAGGAACCCTCAAAAAAGGGCTTTGCAGCACTGAGATATACGAGATTTGGGAGTGTGTCTTTTCAAAATTGTACAGAACCACGCCACCAAAGCCAAACTAACAAGAGTTTGGGGGGGGCCTCGCAACTCAATCCCAAACCCTAAACCGTAAACAGCCCTAAACCCTAAACCCTAAACCCCAAACCCCAATTAAACCCTAAACCCTAAACCCTAAACCCTAAACCCTAAACCCTAAACCCTAAACCCTAAACCCTAAACCCTAAACCCTAAACCGGCCTTCCAGTTCCCGACCTTGGGGCGAACAAGGGAATCACAATTTAGGCTCCAGGTCCGTAAAGTTTGGATCCGAAACGCTTTCAATCCTCATGCCCGCTAGATACCTACGGACCGCAATTCCGCCGGCCTGATATAGTACTGTAAGAAGGAACATTATGTAATATAACAATGCAACAATATAAAATGCAATAACATAAAAACCCCTACACCCGCGACCCTCGACAGGATTCCCTGGAACCATAAACTGTAGACCCCGAATCTGTAAACCATGGGCGCCCAGGACTTGTGCAGGACGGTCTCCAGTCCTTCACAGCATGGCGAAGCCGTCGCTGGGAAACATCCACCGATTCCGTGTCCTGTCAAGAAGAACACTTCCTTCCCCCCCTCTCCCCCGCCCTCCGTTTCCTTGGACTTTCGGATGACATTGTGTCGAGCGAGCAAGAAGGCTCAAGGACAAATGACAAATGTGATTGAACATGACACTCTCGGCCATTCTAGTGAGTCCGGCGTTCACTCTTCGGTTCTGTATTTCTTTCTTTCTCTTTCCTTCACTCTGTCTCTCTCGCTCTCTCCCTCTCTCTTTCTTCTTCATGCGGCAGGCAGGAAGAGTGGGTCTGCACTGCGCACCAGGTGCGTCTGGGGGTCCATTCGTTAGCTTGAACAAGCAGGTTCATTGGCAGAGGATTACACACACACACAACCATTGTTTTTGCTCTGCAGTATATTGCACGGACTGCATCTAGTTGTCTGCAACTTGTTACCCTAAACCCTAAACCCTAAACCCTAAACCCTAAACCCTAAACCCTAAACCCTAAACCCTAAACCCTAAACCCTAAGCCCCTGAAGTTATACCTGTCTCTCCCCCTCTTTTGCCAGAGCCTGGTCGACCTCCAGCTGCTTTCGACTCACCTACCAGGCAGGGGCGGTGGGGTGCACTTACTTCCTTGCCGCACACGTGTTGAATGCGGGTGCAGGGTGTTTAGGGTTTGGGGTTTGGGGTTGAGGGTTTAGGGTTAGGGTTTAGGGTTTAGGGTTTAGGATCAGAGTCAGGGAGCTCCGGGCCTCCAGGCGGATCATGGACAGAGTTTGGCAGGTTCAGAGTTTCAGGGAGGGGGGGGGGGGGGGGGGGGGTTTGCCGGGTGCCGGTGGGGAGCTGAGTGCTCCAAAGGCATGAGACTTTGAGAAAAACATGTTCAGGCTTTACACGGGGCACGTTGCATGTGTTGAATAATTGTCGGAACCGTCCCAGGCCAAAACCCCAAGAACAATTAATCAAGCAAACGCTTCCAGGCGGCCGCACAGAGGCGAACATGCGAGACTACAGGATTTGATTAGACAGCTGTGGACAGGCCAGGGTCTGAAGTATGTGTTCTTGTGTTTGTGTGTTTTTTTTTCTCAAAAATAGGGGATCCCTAAAAAACGGGCCCCAAATAGTAGGACCCCTTATAGCAAAAACCCAAAAAAGGTACCCGCAAACCCCCATATAGGGATCCTTGCAACGCTGAAGCGTATTGCACATCTTCGTACAGTAAACCCCAAAAAGTTGGAAACCTGTTTAAGGACAAATAGTGCTGGGATTCCCTAGACTTTACTCTTAGGGATTGAGGCTATTGAGTTGCCAACTTTTTGGCTTCTACTGTAAATTGAGGAGAATCGGGCGGTGCTTGTTTAACAGGTCAAGTCCCACGGCCCTTGGCAAACTCTGCATAAGTAAAGAGGGGTTTAGGGTTTAGGTCTAGAGTTTAGGGTTTCGGGTTTAGGGTTTAGGTTTTAGGGTTTCGAGTCTGGGTTTAGGGTCGGATTTCGAGCTCGTACTGTACATCGGTCAATGGATGACGTCGTCTCGTCTCAGAACTCCAGTCCCTTCTTGGAGCCCCTGTTGTCCAGCGACGCCCCAGGATTACAGGGTCTCCATAAAAAAGGGTAGACCATTCGGAGAGCTCATCCTATGAACCTGCTATGGGGCAGTGCTGAGAGCTGCAACCCCACTAAATAGTGGCCCTTTGTCTTCCATGCATGATCATCACCGTCCGTGCAGGACATGCTTCTGGCCACTACATAAGACGACACCACCAGAATCTCCAGATGAAATTGCATCAAGGTCTTGCATTGCGATGCAGTGTATGAGATTTCATGTTCACCTATTGCGTTATACTACACTGTATCATAAAAAGGGAATATATGAGTATTTCCGCAAATAGGGGCACCCTTATTATACCCCCAGATAGTATAATCCTCGTTATAGGAACCCCCCCAATACAACCCTATCTTCACAACACCCCCGCCCCCCACATTGTACTAGTATAACTCTACACCCAAACCCTAAACCCTAAACCCTAAACCCTAAACCCTCAACCCCAAACCCCAAACCCTATAAACCCTAAACCCTAAATGCTCTAAGCCACTGTGCGATTCATGCCCTGCCTCAGCCTGTGCCTCGGTAATCTGCGCCGAGACCTTCGCAACCTGTGGGCTCTCGAAGGTCCATGGGTGGGTTGTAGGGAACAGGGGGGTTTAGGGTTTAGGGTTTGGGGTTTAGGGTTTAATTAGGGTTTAGGTTTTAGGGCTTAGAGGTCGTTTGGGGTTTTAAGGATTTAAACCGTCTCGTTTGGGTTGGGGACTCTGGTGAGTGTAGTGCATAAGGGTAGGCGGCGCAGGGCTAAGATTATGAGGCTTACCGGCTTACCGCTTTCGCTCTCTGTGCGTGTGAGGACGGGTCCCTGAACATCCAACCCCAAACCCTAAAGCCTAAACCCTGAACCTGAAGTCTGAAGTCTGAAACCCTATAAGGGTTCAGGGTTCAGGGTTCAGGGTTCAGGGTTTAGGGTTTAGGGTTTAGGGTTTAGGGTTTAGGGGGGGTGTTTAGACTGTTCTTGCCAAAGACGACCAGGAGCTGCAACTAGAGCAGCTTATCAAACTACCACCTTACCGGTTCAGTCCCGAAGTCGGGTTCAGGGCTTAGGGGTTTAGGGTTTAGGGTTTAGGGTACAGAGTTCAGGGCTTCGGGTCATGCCCTTTGGTCCCTGATTGGCTCCTCATCCCTGAGCAGCCGCCGCTTGTCCAGCCATTCCTGCGCAACATCTCTCCGACGCGATGTGTCCAGGGGGTCTTGAGAATCTGGTTCTTCGAAGCTGAAAGAGACGAAGGCGCATCAATCCTACACATTTAAACCAGTACTGACTACAAGGGGTATGCTTGGCCTCACGCGATGTCTGCATCATACATCCTAGGCCCTAGGCGGGTCCAATCCTACCTAAGAGGTTAGGCCATTAGACAGATGATCCTAGCTATTGAACAAGTTCCCTTCCTTCTAGAGCTTGAAGGTTATACTCCAGGACCCTAACTATGGACACAGTTTCTTGTTCTGCGGGTATACACTTTTTTGGGAACTCTTAAGCTCTAAGCCTAAACCCTCAATCGCCTGGCCTTGACAGGGCCTAGGAACTCGTCAACGACGTGGACCACCTACGCATTGAGGAGTCCCTTCGAGAGTAGGGTTTTCGCAGCTTGCGGCGTACTGTATGGGTCTGGGATTTCGGTAAGTAAGGCTTTAGGACTCATAAAAGGTGTCTAGATGCCTAACCTTATCGCATTTTTCACATACCGAATAATCATAATCAATTCATACATTCTCCTTTGGAGGGGATAGAATTGCTCTAGGTGAACCAGTGGCTGCACTTTTAGCACGGCATCCAGAAACCATACCAAAGGGGCTTGGCGGTACAGAAGTCCGGAACAATATTATAGTGGACCCTCTACTCATGGCGACTCAAATCCAAACCTTGAGAGTAGCCTAGGCGCCCAAGTGTAGCTAAAATTATTAGGTGACTCATATAGAAGAAGAGACACGAAACCCTAAAAAAACAAACAAACAACACACACACACACACAAGCAAACAAACAAACAAGCAAACAAACAAACAAGCAGCACAATGGGGGGGCCTAGGCAGGGCTACAGGCGGAAGGGGTTTCAGGACGTTTCAGGGTTTAGGGTTTAGAGTATTGAGTTGGCTGTTTCTGTGAGACTATTCTAGCTGGCGAGATGAAGAAAACACAAAAACATGGAAAGATCCCGGGTTTGAAAAGACCATGCCGCGTAGAGGAGGCGGATACCCTACAGGTGAACTTGGTAGCCCAGTAACCATATTGCAATAAGGGTACCCCTTTTGGAAAGGCACCCTTACCACAGGGCTACCAAGTGAACTTAGGGCATTTTTCAGATTGCTGGAGTTGTGGAAGTTGAGCTTTAGCGGAAGGTGTACGCAGCTCGAGCTTCGGCAGGGGGCAACTTTGCCTTTTCCATCTCCGCGCCTGGAAGGTACACGTGGGCGTGGGCATTAACGTAGTTCCCGAGTGACTCTTTTGGCCCTAAACCCTAAACCCTAATATGCATACACCATTCAAGCACATGGACGCTTAGGGCCAGACTTTTGGGCCAGGCAGAAAAATGACGCTTGATTGCCCACCACTTCCCCTGAACATCCCCAGCGAAAAAAAAACACACTAATTATGCTTACTAGCTAGGCCACTTGAACGTTAAGAGCAAAGACGACCTAAAACTCAAAAAACCTACTGTCATGCTGTCATGCCACTGCATTCAGAGTTTTCACAGGCTGGGTCTTAGAAACAAAAACGTCCACAGACCAAACCCTAAACCCTGTAGACCCTAAACTTGGGATGTTCCCCTTATACTAACAGTCCTTAAATAGGGATAATTACCGGGGTACGATCATCCCTAAAGGACTGTTGGCATAAGGGTGAACATCCCAACCCATATATTTAAGAACCTGAAGACTACAGACCGCACCTGAAGAAGCGACTCGCTTGTGCGTAGCAGGCGCTCGCGGCGGGCGCGATGCTTGGCAATCGCAGCCTTCGCTTCCAGGGCTTGGGGCACGGGAAGCTTCAAGGGTACCAGTGACTATAGCTAGTGGCTCCTGTGTAGTACTTCTTTGAGGTAGTATACTAGAATCCCCTAGAGCTAACCCCAAAAAGGAAGCTACATTGGAGCCTTCAGGTAGGGTGAGCAAGTGAAGAGAACTGCAGATCCCCATTTCGGCATTCCGAGCTGTCGACGTTGCAGCTCAGGATGAATCCGTGCACCTGCCATGGCTTAGGAACTTCTCGGGTTTTGGTTTAGGGAACTTTAGGGTTTAGGGTTTAGGGTTTAGGGTTTAGGGTTTAGGGTTTAGGGTTTGGGGGTTAATGATGACCTACAAGGAGGGTTCGAGGGGGCAAACCCTCTGAACCCCCTCAATCCTCGGGAGAGGCTCTCATTTCCTTTGATGCGATCAACGTCGGCGGGCTTACCAGGTCCATGAAGTCGCCCAGGGCAGGAAGATGACCTTGTTGGGCACTGGGGGGGAGGGTGGGGGGGGGGGGGGGGAATAGGGCCTTGAGGTGGGCTGGGGGCTCTTGGGGTGTTCAGGTTTCAGGTTCGATTGCGGGTTTAGGCGATAGACGGCCACGGGTTCAGAGTTTGGTGGCCTCATGAGCTGCCCTATATCGGTAGTTGCCCCTAAACCCTAAACCCTAAACCCTAAACCCTAAACCCTAAACCCTAAACCCTAAACCCTAAACCCTAAACCCTAAACCCTAAACCCTAAACCCTAAACCCTAAACCCTAAACCGGTCGACGGTGCTGAGATGGAAACGCGCAGGTGGGAACCCAAACCCCAAGCTCTCAACTACGCACTGGCAAGTCCAAAACTCTGCACCCACAATCCCCTCGGCGCTCATGCGCCCGCAACCTCAACTCGCCATCGGCCCATTCAGGGTCTCCCTAAAGGGGTACAAAAAGGTGCAGGGCTCGGCTTTCTAGGACTTCGGGTGCAGGGTCGACCGACTTCCTGGGCCTAGATCAAGCGAAAATCGAACTACTGCCATCCCAGTATCAGTCAAACATCCTGTTAGGGTTTTGGGGTTTAGGGGTTTAGGTGTTTTGAGGTTATATAATTAAGGGGTTTAGGGGTTTAGGGTTTAGGGGCTTTTCGGCTTTTCTGTGCTACTCCGCAAGACCAGTGCTCAGCTGCCAGCCGGTCGTCACCTGTCTCTCTGGTCTCTCTTTTCGCGAACTAGAATGACAAACGAATCGTTTAGCAAGGGATGCTTGTTGGCTCGCTATAAGGCCCTCTTGCTTCTGTGACAGTGCAATCTTCGTTAAGGCCCGGCTCACATGCGATGCGGCCCCATTCTATATCACATGGCCAGCATTCGCACATCCACGCCCTCCTCATTTCGACATCTCGACGCATGCTTCACTCACATCGGCCTTAGGATTGAGATTTCCTAATCCCCAAACCCCTGAGCCCTAAACCCTAAATCCGAAACCCTAAACTAAACCCTAAACCCGAAACCCTAAACCCGAAACCCCCAAACCCCATGGGAACCTTGGGTGCCAGTTCGTAGATGCCGGGAAGGCCGTCCAAAGCCGCGCAGATGTTCATGCAGAAGGGCTCCTCGACACAGAACTTGGAACCCTAGCAACATAATATTGCTTGCCGTTGCAACGTGCCCCCAAAAATAAGAAACAAATAAGAATCCTAGCGACATTAGAACTCTACGGTTGAATGGCACACTCAAGCCACACGCAAGAGTGTTTTGGCCAAGATCGCACTAACATGTGTCTTAGGAATTAAAGTGCCCAAACTGAACATTATTCTTAAGTATCCCTAAGTGAGGTCCTCGGCATTGGCTGTACTTAGGGTTTAGGGTTGGGGTTTTGGGATATACGGTTCAGGGTTTGGGGTTCAGTGCCTCTGGGGCCTGGTTGAGGGCTTAAAGTTTTGGGGTACGGGGGGTTCAGGTTGGGGCTTGGAGTGTTAGGGGGTTTTGAGAGGGCTGTAGAGTGCCGCATCAAGGCAGGAAGCCGGCTACCCCGGTCAAGTGGTTTAGTGTTTGGGGAGGTGAGCATCTCCCATCGACCCAAAAACAAAAAAACAAACAAAGCCTCGAGCTTAAACTTCAAAAGCCCGCGAGGCCCTAAACCCTAAACGCGGCAGGACAGCGGGGTTCGCTTCCCTTTTTTTGCCCTTTCACCCACCCACCACCAGGAACCTTGACTAGGTCTAAGCCCGTGAGGCCCTAAGATCCTGCTAGTTCCGATAAGAACCTTTAACATCCTCCCCAAGGGCCGTCCTAGTTACAGCTGGACAAGCGCTTCTCTTGAACAAGTCCCAGTGGTTGACTCAACTGTGTCACTTGTTGCCTAAAAACTCAAACCCTAAACCCCCAAATCCTAAACCCTTAATATAACCCTACACCCCAAACCCTAATACCCTAAACCGCAGTCTATGAAGCTGCCGCCCAGCGGCGTTCGCATGTACGAAGCTGCACTGCTCCTTGGAGGAGGAGACTGCCTCCGCCACCCTTGGAGAGGACGAGCCACTAAGGGGCATTCTGTTTATTTTTTGGTATTTAAGTTTAGGGTTCATAGGCTTCACTTACATTTTGCAGCTTTTTTGGCGCGAGGGGGGGGGGGGGGGGGGGAGTGGGGCGGGGGGTCGGGGCTTATATTATATAAAGGACTGACAGTGAGATCTGGTTCACGATTTCTGCGGGGTGGGGCTTACCGGGCTTATATAAACGACTCACAAACATCTTCTTCACGATTTGGGGGTTGGGGTTTAGGGCTTAGGTTCAGAGAAATAAATCTGACTGTTGATTGGAGGGCTTGCACCATGAACCGCTGATGTCGACGTCGGGAGTCCGGAGTCAGGGTGCGAAGTACTTCTCCCAGCAAATTCTAAGCTGTTGCCTGCAAAGATCCCCTGTAAACCTTTACCCTTAGGCCAGCAAGAATCAAAGGTTTCCGTGTGCCGTGTGGCAAACCCCTTCGCCCCTATGATAGGCGGAGGTGCTGGAGGGTGCTGAAGTTCGAGTCCTTGTGCGACACGTCGCGGTCAATGCCTCCGTAGACATCTGTAGACATGTGCAGAGGGCTGCACTGCAGTGGCGGAGCCTCAAACCTACCACTCAGAAAGGCTCAGCATTTAGCATCATGGGCTCCGTGCCGACCGCACCTTACCTAGAGTAAGCCTGCACCTCAGAAAGCAAGGTGAGCACACCGCCGAAACCAGGTATAAAAAGGCAAGCTTCCGCTTTTCGAGGTTTTGCGCACCCATGAGTGACTGCGAGACGCTCGAGCCCCAAATCCCAAAACAAACGCATAAGCCGGCATAAGGACCAAACTCGGCACCCTAAACCCCACACCCCCCCCCCCCCTCCCCTCCCCCCTCCCCCCTCCCCCCTCCCCCCTCCCCCAAAAACAGCAAATAAAAATAGGGGTAATGACCCACTCTGGGTCCTAGAAAAAGCCTTCCGTTACCCGAGCCTGTCATCATGGAGGCGATCGAAATCAATGCCTCCTCGCATACAGAGCCGTTGCTTGGAGGTTCAATGGTAGTTGTAAGTAGGGTTTTTCAGTACGCTAAGTAAGGTTATAACCACTCAAAGTATCACTACAGTTTATTCACAGTTGTTCCACTTATAATACGAGTTCTATAAGTCAAGTACCCATGAACCTTTCCTATGGGCTCTATAAGGCTTTACGGCCTTAAGGAGAGCAAGCCAATTCTAGTTCTTTCTGTATAGGCATTGAAATTTAATAAGTACATAACCACTACCCATGGAACTACGTTTGCACAAAGCAAAGCGAGACAAAAAGAAAGTCCATTTTGGATGAAGGGTCTAGGTGTGCCTAGCAAAAGAGGTTGCGTGCACTTAAGGGTCATCCTTCCTCTTGAAGGTGCCATACATATGCCAGAGCCGTCCTGATACAGTAAATGCAAAGTCCCAACCGACTCCTCGACTGGCGGCGCGTAGCAGTCGACGTGAACGCAGGTCAGATACCCTGCGCAACGTGAACATCTTGGGTGTGCGTGTTAACTTTATAGGGGCTAGGGTTGAGAAGGCAAAAACAAGCCCAAATCCCCCCAAAGCCCCTAAACCCTAAACCCTAAACCCTAAATCCTGAACCCAAAACCCAAAACCCAAAACCCTAAATCCTAAACTCAACCTGAGGTCCTTATCTTGGCAATGAACCTCTAAACCATGCTGTGTAGCTGCACCACTTCTGACTCCGAGAGTATACGGGTCAGACAAGCACATGAAGTCGAAAGATGATCAAGGCATTCTGGCTTTGCTGTATTGGGTGGGCTGTGCGTTCGGCGGTGCGAGGGTGTTTAAGAGGCGAATGTGTAGCGGGGATTGGCATTTAGTTCGAAGCATCGGGCTAAGGGTTAAACCCTACAGGACTTGCGGCTTTTGGAACTTTGCGGCCTCTGGATACTTGCGGTTCAGTTTAGGGCTCTGCCTGGGCGTGCCACGGCCCAGTCAGTGTCATGTGCCAGGAGCCTTGGAAATTGCAAGGAGGTGCCAGCTCAGTCAATGACCCTAAACCCTAAACCCTAAACCCTAGGTGCCCTGCAACCAGTGGCAGCATGGCATGTGGCTGCTGTCCCCTTTGAACATGGCTATCACAAAACAAGTGGTTTGGGGTTTAGGGTTTAGGATTTAGGGTTTAGGGTTTAAGGACTCCCCCGAAAAAAAAACAAAGATGTATAATTGAAAACGTAGACATTCCATAGATTCAGCATGGATGCTCTTAAGTTCAAGAAGGCAACCTGTCTCAGGCGTGTCACGAGCGACAGCAAGAAGAAGGACACACAAGTCTTGGTACAGAGAACGACGGACTCGAAACGGCAACAAAGTACCACGGGCGGGGAGAGGAAGGTATTTCCTAGTGATTCCCAGCCCAGCCCCACAGCCCGGAGCACCGAACATGCTAAACTTGCTCCCTCAACAGCCCAATACCCACCCCCCCCCCCCCCTTCCCCTTCGCCCCCATCGAAAGGAAGGGATCAACGTAAGTCAGAGTAAGCGAAGCCATGTCGTATTTGAGGTATACTAGGTCATCATAAGACACCTGTAAAGCTTTGGGCAATACGCAACAATTAACCTTTTGAGAACCCGAAGCTCCAAATCCTAAGCCCGACGTAGCCATTCCCACGCTGCCAGTTTAAGGATTCTTGGGTTTAGGGAGGGTGTAGGGTTTTGACGAGGATCCTTGCTAAAAAAGATCGGCAGCCTTTGCAAGTCCCTTAGAGGAACCCGAAAAGTTACCCTGCATTGTCTCTGCAAAGGAATAAGGAGCTGACCAAGACCGCCCCCCCATCCGACGATGGACCCGAAACCCGAAACCCTAAACCCTAAACCCTAAACCCTTCGGGTTGAGGGTTTCTGGGGCCTATGGGGTCTAGGATGCCCAGCAACTTAGGATGAAAAAATCGGTGTCCTCTCTTGCTCAAAGGGGTAAAAAAGGGAAGCTATAAGCCCCCCCCCCCCCCCCCCCTCCAAAAAAAAAAAAAAATAATAATATATATATATAAACAATAATAATAACAATGAATAAGGTTACTACGGGGCATCCTCGGGGCGCTGAACTGGCGGTTCCTAGATATCTGGAACTCCAGATCCTCCCAGGAAATGTCCGCAATGCTTCTCGGACTCAGGGTTTTGTGTAAACCCCCAAAACACCCAAAAACCTCCCAAAACCGGCCAAAACCTGCCAAAACCGGCCAAAGCCGGCCAAAACCCCCAAAACCGCCTCCAAAAACTGCCCCCCCCACACAATCTCACCAAGAAGCGCCGTGTGGAGGCTCTTGCCTGGGATCAGTGCCAGGTGTGGATTAGGGTTTAGGGTTTAGGGTCTAGGGTCTAGGGAAGGTTCAGGGCTTATCTAGAGGTCAGGTCAAGTTGGATGTTTGCAGGGCTTGCAATGAGGCGCGGAACACTCTGGGATCAGGTCTGCAAGGATACAGACCTGCAGCTCGCACACAGACGCATAAACACGCAGCCTAAACCCTATAAGCCCGACACCCCTAAACCCTAAACCCTAAACCCTGAAGCCTAAACCCCCAAAACCCTGAACCCTGAACCCTAAACCCTAAACCCTAAACCCTAATAGCAGCAGCTCTTCTCCAACTTGGCCCCAGCTACGCGCGTGCTGGACGAAGGCGCGCCAGCGACCGAGCTCCTCAGCCTCCTCTAGATCGTTGGGTTTAGGGTTTAGGGTTTAGGGTTTAGGGTTTAGGGTTTAGGGTTTAGGGTTTAGGGTTTAGGGTTTAGGGTTTAAGGTTTAGGGTTTAGGGTTTAGGGCTACTTGAAGGTTCATGGGTAGTTATAAGTAGGATTACAAGTACCCTAAAGATGGTTATAACCAGTTAGAAGTATACTTAACCCTACTTAACTTACAGCCCCACTTCTAACCACCCATGAACCTCCAAGTAGGGTGCCGAACGTACTGTGTGGCTTCTCGAAGTGAAGTGTCCTTGATGGCCACACGAGACTGCTACTACGAAGCCTTTAACTTGGCTGCTCTTAGCAGGGTAGCTATACATGTTTAGCTGCCTTCTTAAGAAACCCAATAAACCCAAAAAGGCTAAAGATGTGAAGTTACAGTAGAGCACCACAAGGTCAAGGCGCACTGCCGTGTAGACATGAACCCGTGCGTCTCCATCTGCGTACAGAAGTTGGCAGGCCATGCGCCCTACACGTAAGAATTGGCGGGCTCAAGGGTCAAGAACCCTAAGAAGAGTAACCTAGATACCTAGAGACCCTTCAGGAAAAAAGGGTTTAGGGTTTAGGGTTTAGGGTTTAGGGTTTAGGGTTTAGGGACTGTATGTTGCCTTCTGTTTCTGTAGGGTGTCTCGGTGCTCTTCTAGGTATGCCCGGCCCCCTAGAACCCCTGAAATCCTTAAACTATGGCATCCTCAAGAAGCCGAAGAACTATTCCTAAACCCTAAACCCTAAACCCTAAACCACCCCCATTTTGCGGCAGAAGCTCCAAGCCAGGTCAAACCAGGATGGTGTGGTTGGGTTCGAGTGTCGGGTTTCGGGTTTGGGGTTTGGGCGGTTTGGGGTTCTCGCGTTTCTTGGGGGAACTGAATGTCAACCTGGGGGAACATGCCCAGTCTGGAACGATGCACCGAGAAGGTTGAAGCTTCCGCACGCGCCTACTGAGCGAATCCCACTCAAGAAGGATCACGTCGCCATAGACCAACGAGGACTTAGGATGGCGTACCTAAAGAAGCCTTGTACACCAACGGAAAGGGGGCGCACCTAGTACTTAAAGTATCTACGAGATTTTGTTACTGGCCAATTATGCTAGGGACCCTGGCGAGGGAGTCCCGGTGGCAAAAGCTTCAGGCCAAGAGCGCGGTGTCGCAGCACTACAACCCAACCTGAAAGACAAGAAGAAACCCTGTAAGCCCTAAACTCTACATACTGAGTTGTGCTTCAACCCCTTGAAAACTACTTGTGAATAGGTCCCCTTATACGGCAACAAGGGAAATTAACAATTATACCAAAGCACGTGTGACTAGTTATAAGGTCTTCCTATACATCCCTTGCAAGGTATTTTATGGTGGTTTCCGAATTTGGGGTACCTTCTTGAGGTCCTTATTATAAGGGAATCCTACTATTAGGATTCGATTCTAGGGGTCCCCTTTTTTCGTAAAACCCCATATCAAGACGTACCATTCAGTACCCAACCTGTCCTGGCTTTACACAGGCCACCGAAGGACCGAAGGTACGAGACTCGCTGGTCCTCGAGGAAGTCCGCGTCATTGACAAAGGCTTTCAAGGCTGCTTCCTTCGGGGCTTTCAGGCCTCTTGCTGCTTCATTTAGCCCGAAGACTTGAATCGATCTCCTGACCTCAAACTCTTCAGCCCAGCTGCTGAGACTAACTTTTATTAATTCGCACAACAACACAAGGCAAGCTTTCGGGCCTTGCGCAGCTGGGTTCTCATGGTGCTAGGGAGCTGCTTTGCTTCCCGCAAACCCCGAAGCTGCACAAAACCTGCTGGTCCGAATCATCGGGCGACGAAAGAACGAAGCCCGAAGCACCGCAACCCTGAACTCTGATGTTCGAGTCTCGACCCTGGTCCATTGAGGAACTTTTGGGGCGAATTTGGGTTCCAGAGCGAAATTCGCGAAACGCCAACATGAGGAGATATTGAGCCGAATGTTGGGGGCATCTTCGGACTCAGAAAAAATTTGAAACAGCCGGACGATCCGGCCTTATACCTTGTAAGCCCTCCAATCCTACACCCTAGACCCTACCTGAAGTCTCTAATGTAGTTCCTTTCTGGGTTACTTATAGGGGGTTCTAGCATACTACCCCAAAAAAGGTACTACATAGGAGCCCTTAGGTAAGCCCATCAACGTGAACCCTCAACTGTCTAAACACTGCTAGACCCTAAGCCCGACACGCGGCGCCTGCTGTTCCGAGGTCCACGCTCCCTGCACATCTCCTGAGCTTCCGCCGGCGAATTGTGGAGGGCGGAAGGGACAACAGTTACGGAAGGTTGTCAGAATAATATAAGGCTTCTTTCAAGGGACCAAGGGTTACAGAAGGACTGTGACTAGGAAAAGAAGGTCTGGGCAGGACACTGAAATTTTGCAGACGAACTGTCAGTTCGGGATCTCTTCGTACGTAGCTTTGTATCTGAAGAAAGGTTACAGTATCCATTGGCTACTCAATGGGTAAATCTCGCCCAACAACCTACACCCAGACCCGTCGGCAAGCAGCCATGGCGGACGATGGTGTGAAAGGTGTCCAGAAATCGCTCGAACAGCGCCTGTCGATTGACCCCTAACCCTAAACCCTAAACCCTAAACCCTTTTTTGGGCTTTGGGGTTCTGAATCCAAACTCAAAAATTTCCAGATCCTGGGCCCTGCTTTGACCCGGGCAGTGGTCCATGTAGCCAGGTGTCCCAGGAAAAGCGGGCTGAATTAGGGTTTAGGGTTTAGGGTTTAGGATTTAGGGTTTAGGGTTTGGGGTTGGGGAGCTCTGGCATGTAGCGTGTGGATGGGGAGGCTGTGGAGAGTACATTGTTTATATTACCATGATCAAAAATTATTATTACTGTAATGTCAGTGTCATTGAGTAACCCCACCCCCCGTACCCCAAGGGGTTAGGGTTTAGAATGTAAATCTGAACGCTCTGCACCACTGCTGTGCATAGCCAATGTACCAAAACCATTGGAATAGTTCCCTTCTTTTGAGGTCGGCATAAAGCCTCTCTATGTGCCCTTCAGAGCACCCACGAAATCAGGTAAGAATTCCTTGTTGCTGCGGGTCAAAAGTTCATTACGCCCCTAAACCCTAAACCCAAAACCCTAAACCCTAAACCCTAGGGTTTCGGGCTTGAGGTTGAGGGTTTCAGGGTCGTCCTAAGCAGCCGCCTCCCACGCGGAGGGGCCCTTGGCCTGGCAATGGTGAGGGTGGACCCTCAACCCTAAACCCTAAACCCTAAACCCTAAACTCCAAAAAGGTAGAAACCGCCCTCTCAGGGCCCCAGGAAGCTTAACACCCACACTCTTAAGGCTCGAAGACAAGGCTAGTGTTCGGGTTTTGAGTGTTCGGGTTTTGGGGCCCCAAAAAACCACACTCTATCGCCTCAACAGATCGGCTGAGACTTCTTTTACCCTTCTTATGCCTGATTGGGAGCTGAACGACATGAAAACCCTTGTACAAATGCAAATAAAGGTGATCTGCCTTCAGAAATCGACCGACCTATATCTTGTCATAAGATGTCACATAATAGAACGGACCCTAAACCCTAAACCCTAAACCCTAAACCCCAAACACTAAACCCTAAACACACACGGTTGTGGGATTTCAGCGCAGCTCGGGTTCAGGGACCTCTCAAATCGGCAGCTGCGAACGCATCCCTGGCCACAAGTGTCCAGCCACAGGACCTGCTCTCTACCTGAAGTCTCTAATGTAGTTCCTTTCTGGGTTCCTTATAGGGGTTTAGGGTTTAGGGTTTAGGGTTTAGGGGTTCTAGTATACTACCCCAAAAAGGTACTACGAAGGAGCCTGTAGGTATTATAGCATCCAGATGTTACAGACTCTTGCGGAGTTGCCTCGAAGTGTCGTTGTTTTGGCTACGCCGGCTATCAGAGTAATAGTTGATACCCCTTTTTGAGAAGTGAGTACCAACGGGGCTGAATATCATGGCCCAAAAGAAGGTTCCCCTTTCTCTTTCTCTCTCTCTCTCTCTATATATATATATAGTAGCATTCTATATAACAAAGAACCTAAGGTACTTTTTACTTCCGGAAGAGGGCCCAAGGCTCACCTGCAGGGTTTAGGGCTTAGGGCTTAGGGTTTAGGGTTTCTTTTCTACATCCCGGGAACAGGGAGCGGAGCTAGCCTTGAAACCCAAACCTAACACTGCTATCCACAACAACTACTATTGACAACTTTAATAAGAATATGAATACTACGAGTAATATTCACAATACTAATAGTAGTAATATTAATAATTAATAAACATAATACTACCAGCCCAAGAATTTGGGGGTTGACGATCTTTGGGGTACCTGATTGGGGTCCTCACTATATGGGGATCCTACTATTTGGGGGATCTACATTAGGGGTCCCTCATTACCGTAAGTAGTCTAAGCCGCAAAGAAACAGAACACCTACGTCTTGAACGCCCCTCAGCCCTGACCTACAACAACCAGAAGCACTCGTTGGACCGCCCCCCTTACCCCCCTGGTTCTTAGTAGGGAATGAGGGAATGAGGGCCCCGCATACACCCTTTAAGGGAGTATATAGGGCCCTGATTCCCTCATTCCCTACGAAGTTACTAAGAAACTGAACCCTAAACTCTGCATCCACACGCAAGGGTGGCCAACTGAAGTATCAAGAGCTGGCGCTCTCGCAAAGTCGCTGCACCTTGCGTGGGCAGGGAGTCTTCCGGGCTGTGGGATTCAGTGGGCCGGGGGGTTAGGATTTAGGGTTTAGGGTTTAGGGTTCAGGATTCCGGGTTTAGGGTTTAGGGCTCGGGGCAAGGAATTTGTGGAGCTTTCCGCAGCCTGATGTCCTAAATTGAAACAACCCAAATTCGAAACTCTGATTGGGTGCCTGCATATCTGGACCACAGAGAGCTGTGGGACACAACTTCCTTCAAGGCTCAATAACTGTTCATGTAGATACAATCAAGGCAGGGTGCCCTTATCTTTGAAACAAAGAGCTTTAACCATAAGGGAATTCGTAGCTGCTAAACAAAAGAGGGCGGGACTCAAATGATTTCAGGTGCCGCAAGCAGCATCTCTGATTTAGGAACTTCCGGTAACGAGCACAAGCCGGAAGCTCTGAACGAATGACTTAGGCGTCATCAACTAAAACCGAAAAAAAAAAACTGATAGGGTCAACGAACCCGAATGCAGACACAAGCCGAGGTCAAGCCTAAAACCTGAACTGAGGTGCCGGCGAGTCATGGCATTTCGAAGAATGGCAAAGAATTCTTCCTGAGTTCAACTTCAGGGTTGGGTTAAGGGTTCAGGTTTTCGAGGATGGGATGTGGGGTCGGAAGGTACTGGAGATGGAGGCCTATGCGCGCCTCACACTATGATGCGAGCGGGCATGTACCCTGGTATAGGAAAGTGCTGCACTGCTATTGGATCCCAAGTCAGAGTGAGAGATTATACGCTCTACCTGCTACCCAGAGAAACCCATGACTCTGCCTGTTGAATGCTACCCAGAGAAACCCATGACTCATACCAAACACTTTTGGCACCTTCCCAGTTTTTGGAAAGGATTATCGGGTACAGAGTGAGCCTCAAGCCCTATACTCCACCCTTACCCCCCTAAACCCCCGAACCCAATCCCGTCTTAAACCAAAGGCGGTAAGCTCTTCGACAGTTCTGCGAAAGCCTCAAACCCCTTTGGAAGCCCCAAGAACCTTCAGGTTTTTTGGGCTTAGGGTTGAGGGCGGAGGGTTTGGCACCTGGATTAGGGAACTGATATTCGAGGCACAGAGGGGGTCTAAGGTAAGCCTTACCGTCTTACCATTGGCCGGAATTTGAGCTCACAGTTTCGGGTAAACTCGGGATCCTCTTCAGGTGATGGCTGGGTTCCTAGGAAAGGCAAGCCTTCGACCAGACCTGTTGTCGTGTCTACGCTGGTTCCGGAAAAAGAAGGGTTCGATCTCTAAATCACTCAGGGAAACTACCAGGATGGGCTCTTGGGCCTTGAAATCCTCATCATGAACCTTATAAAAAAGCCTTATTCTAAGGGATTAAAAAGCCTGTTTAGGGATTATAGGGTACAAAAGCCCATCCTGGTGACCAGCCACAACGAACAAGCTGCCGGTGTTTGACCAGAGTGTTGTACCTCCCTTTGCGGACGCGCCAGCTTAACCCAAAACCTCCCCAACACCCTCAATCCCACAGATGCTGTTGGCTTAGGCTTGAGGGAACACCCCCCCCCCCAAAAAAAAAAAAAAAAAAAAAAACCTCAAAACTCTCAATCCTGAAGACGCTTTAGGTTTGGGCTTGAGGGAAAAACCCCCAAAAAAAACCTCAATCCCAAAGACGCTTAAGGTTTAGGCTTGAGGGTGTCAGCTTACACATCAACATCCCTTGGCAGTAAACCCTAAACCCTAAACCCTAAACCCTAAACCCTAAACCCTAAACTTTAAACCCTAAACCCTAAACCCTTTGGTGCCAGGCAGCATTGATCTCAGCCACCTGCCTGTGGGAACATCGCCACTTTAGGGTTGAGGAATTTGTCGTTTCGGGTCTACCTTGAGTGACCTTTTGTCTTGCTTTACAAGGAATGTGCCACAACTGTTGGTTCCACCTAAACCCTTGTTGAAGAGGACACCTGGGCCCTGGACCCTCGAACAAGACGAAAGCGCAACAAAACAGATGCCTATCTAATTCAAGGGACTTTCATCCTTCCAGCGGATTCATGTTTCGAAGATTTAAAGGGCTCCCCCCCCCCCCGGTAAGGTGGCTGCTTCCCTCAAGCTAAGGCTTGTTCCATGTCGCTGAAACTTGGTAGCCCAGCAACCATATAATAATGAAAGCACCCTTTTTCAGGTTGGGTACTACTTTACAAGGAAACCCTGAACCAACAAAAAAGGACACGGGCACCACTGGGCTACGAAGTTCAGAAGGGGCAACCTACCTGAAGTCTCTAATCTAGTTCCTTTCTGGGTTACTTATAGGGGGTCTAGTATGCTACCCTCAAAAACGTACGACATAGGCGCCCTTAGGCAACTTGGAGAACGGCAAGTGGAACCTCAGCGCCATAGTCTTGACGATGTCGGTGGCTTCCGCGCCGGCCAGTTGGGCTCCGACGATGCAAGCAGTCCTGCAGAGTTGAGCCCGTAAACCATAAACCCTAAATCCTAAACCCTAAACCCTCAGGAGTATCAGGGTTTGGGCTTTCGCTAGGATGGCCCTTAAACCCCTGAAAATACATTCCTGAATATGATCCTCTCAAACCCAAGAAGGAAACATGATACTCCTGCATCTGATCCTCTTAAAAGCAAAAAACAACAAGGAAAATGTATACTCCTGAAGATGACCTCTTGAGCCCAAGAAGGAAGAGTATGAAACATCCCAAGGGCCTACCGAGTTAGGATCTTTGGAGATTCGCTTTGTTTGCAGAGAGGACGGGGCTGTTTCTATGGGGCTATTGGGGGGGTCACTGGAAGCAATTGAGCAGTTGCGATTTGATATGGGGCTTTCGGGCTTCATGGTTCTTTGGCTAAGGGCCTCAAGGCATAGTCTAATGCAACTCTTGTGACGGTTGCGAGTGAAAACCCCAGGTAAGAACTGTTTGCTTTGTCGTGCCTGCGCCCAGAGTTTGCAGGGCCAATGCAGAGCATGTGGCCAGATGGCATCAGGAGAACACCTTCGATTCATGGTCAGGCATCCATGTTCAGATCGCATCCAGCCCCCTTCAGATACTTCATGTACTCCTACCTGTTTAAACCCTGAGACCCTTGACCCTGAACCTAGCCGCAATAATCTGGCGAAGGCGCGCGCCACGCGCAGGGCATGCTGCATGAGGCCGGCGAAGAGGTGCAGCGACGTGCAAGTGCCTGGGGTCAAAGCAGGAAGAGCGATAGCGGCTAGTTGCAACACCAAGTTGCTGGGGTACCCCGGCTTAAAAAGGTTGACCTTTCAAATATGGTAAAGGTGAGGTATCATCAGCTTGTCCGGGTCGCTGAGACGGACTTCGGAACGGTACGTTTTTTTGGGACAACCCCCTCTCAACTGGCCCAGTGCCCTAATGCAACATGTTTTGAGATGTACTGAGAACTTCCGAGGCAGCTAGCATTTCTGAGCCGGCCGCCCTTCTCGGAGTTCTTCTCATTGAACTCATGCAGAATCTCCTGCACTTTGGGGTTAGTGCTGATCCTGAATTTCTGGTGCCTCAACCCTCAGGACGATGGACTTCTTTGATCTAAAAGGGCAGCCGGGGGCGGGGGGCGGGGGGAGGAAGATAAACCTAAGCCGTAAACCCAAACCCTAAAACCTGAACCCACAAGCCCCAAAGGTTCTCGCCCCAAAGCCTAAAGCTCATGAGGCCGCTACCCTGACACCGCTGCCTGTAGAGCCCTAAACCCTGAAGCCTATAAACCCTATAAACCCTATAAGCTCTATAAATGCTAAAAGCCCTCTAAAACCTATAACCCCTCTCAACCCTACAAACCCTATAAACACTGAACCCTTAAAAAGTGCAGGCTCAGAACCCGGACCCTCCTTGACTCGCTTTTGTGGGCCGGTCTCCTGGCATTTGTTTCCGCGTTTAGGGGGTTTAGCCTTTTAGGAGTTATAGGGTTTCTTGCATTTTAAGGGTTTATAGCAACTACAGGGTTTATAGCATTTAGAGGGTTTATAGCAGTTATTGCAGGGTTTTATAGGGTTTGTAAGGTTTGGGGGCTTTTAAGGGTTTAGGAGTTAGGGTTGAGGGTTTTAGGAGTTAGGGTTTTTAGGGTTTGGGGTTGAGGGTTTTAGGAGTTTGGGTTTCTAGGGTTTGTGGTTGAGGGATTTAGGAGTTAAGGTTTATAGGGTTTGGGGTTGAGGGTTTCAGGACTTAGAGTTTACAGGGTTTGGGGTTAAAGGTTTTCAGGTTTCTAGGGTCGAGGGTTTAATTTAAGGCTTTAGGATTTAGGGGTGTCTACGGTTTAGGGTCTTAGGGTTTCTAGAGTTTAGGGGGTTGAGGGTTTTAGGGGTTGGGGTTTATGCAGTTTATAGGGTGTGGTGGTTTAGGAGTTGTAGGACATACAAGGTTTAGGGGGGGGGGGGGGGGGTTCGTTTTAAGGTTTGCGGGGTTTAGGGGGCTGAGGGTTTTAGGGTTTAGGGTTTATGGCTTAGGGTTTTGAGAGTCGAAGGTTTTGGGATTTTAGGGTGCGCAGGGTTCAGGGTTTTTGCGTACAATGTACCCTTAAAGCCCATATGCCGAATAGCCCTAAACCCCAAACCCTAAACCCTAAACCCCAAACCCTAAACCCTAAACCCTAAACCCTTAAAGCCCACATACCGAATAGCCCAAGGCTGTGCTATGGCTTTAGGGTTGTTCGGTATCTGGGCGCTTAAGGGTCGAAGAGTCCGTCGAGCTTAGCGTTCGTGCGCGGGCGCAGCCGGTCACTCGTGTGCATAAATGAGAATGAAGCCTAGCTTCGAAGACGAGGATCCTCTAAGTTATGGACATTTTTTGGCGGGGTGCTGTACCCTAAAAGGGTTTAGGGTTCAGGGTTTAGGGTTTAAACAGGGTTTCAGGTCTTCACGGGAACCCCAAGCGGCCACAGAATGCACAGAAACCCTCATGTAAACCATGTGTGCACGAGCCCAAGCAACAGCCTAAGAGACATGAGCTAGGTCTCCCACCTGGGTGTTTTCGACATTCGTGGTACCTTAGGGGGGGGTCCTTGTTTCTAAGGGAAACCTACTCTTTGGGGGTTTATATTAACGTAACCCTAAACCCTAAACCCTAAACCCTAAACCCTAACCCTTATTGTCGTAAACCCCCACCTGGCAATCTGTGTCCACGTAGCCCCCGGAGCTTGGGTCGAAGAGGAAGCACAGGCCTCCCATCGGCAAAGTTGCAGGACTTCATCTTCGAAGGGCGTAAGGGTTTAGGGTTTAGGGTTTAGGGTTTAGGGTTTAGGGTTTAGGGTTCAGGCAACCCAGGACATGGGTGTTTAGGACGGCGCAGATCTTCACGGCCAAAGCCATACGGGGGTTTACGGAATCGGGGACCTATGCCGACACAGATGAGTGGTTAGGCTAGTGACCTTGCCTCATAGGTGGGCCAGAGCTGCAAGAGCTTTGCTACAGCAGGTTCATTTTCTGAAGGCGGACATTACCTCCGCTTCAGGGTTTTCGTGGTTGGACTCCTCTAGCGACCTATACAATACAATCATGGCCCTTTCTGGAGGGGGTACCCCGAAGTTGTTTATACTACACCAGAGTGGGACCCTAGCACATGGCAGGTCTGTTGAGTGCGGACGATCGCAGAGGGCATTCGGGGCCTACTTAAGGCTTCAGGCTCCAGGGTACCCTTACAGGGTCTCTTTAACCCTAAACCCTAAACCCTAAACCCTAAACCCTAAACCCACGATCAACCCCAAAGCCAGAGGAATCTCAGGTACAGTATAGATAAATGGCACCTTCCAGAGCAGGCTCGACGCCAAAGTATGTCTCCCTGATGGGGTTGAGGGTTTGAGAACTTCAGCATCGCGGGTTACGCCGGATGTCTGAGGAGCTTCAATGGGGGTTTACGAAAATAGGGGACCCCCAATATATACACCCCCAAATAACAAAGACCCCAAGAAGGTACCCCTAGTATCGTAAACCCCTCCCAAACCCTCAATATCCCTCAAACCTAAACCGCGTTCCCCCACAGCAAGGTGTGTCTTGAGTTCCCTTAGAGAACCCTATTAAAAGCCTCAAACCTTTAGCCCTAAACCCTGACAACCCTACCAGGATTGCCGAACCCACGGCCGGAACCGGTGACATGCGCCCCGGTCCTCGAAACCCCAAACCAGCCTCTAATCCCTAGACCCTCGAAGCTAAACCCTTTATCCTTTAGAACATGAGTGGCTTTGCTGCTTGCTGGTGCACCTCACCTCGACTACCCTTAGCAGCACTGACCGGGTCGGGAAGGAGCCCGGTTTGGGGTTGATTACTGGAGCTTGCTGCTGATTTCATGGCACGCTGCGGGACACACTTAGCGCACTCTGACCCTGAACCCTAAACCCTAAACCCTAAACCCTATAAACCCAAAACCTTAAACCCTAAACCCAACTTTGCTCGCAAAGGAATCGGATGCAAGTCGCGTCTAGAGTCTCATGTTTAGGCCCAGTTTAGGCTTCTTCTGCCCTCCGAACCCTGCGTCCTTTAGGCGAACCTTAACCCTAAGGCCCTAAGGACTCTTATTTTAGGTTTCCTGGGCCCTACACCCTAAGCCCTAAGCCCTAAGCCCTAAGCCCCTAAGCCCTAAGCCCTAAGCCCTAAACCCTAAACCCTAAACCCTAAACCCTAAACCGTGGCAGCCTAAGGGTACTTCAACTTCCCCGAAGGCCGAGCTGCAGCTGCTGGGAGAGCACTTCACGAAATCTACGACGGCCTCCAACACGTGCTGTGCTTCAGTTTTGAGGTTTAGGGTTTAGGGTTTAGGGTTGGCTTACCCAAAGGCTCCAATGTAGCTCCTTTTGGGGGTAGCTATCGGGGGGATTTAGTATGCTACCCCAAAAAGGTGCTACATAGGAGCCTTGGGGGTAGTCCGCGCAATTCTGGGTGGGCTTCGGGATAGTTGGGCTTTTGTGTGCATGCCAGCCTGGATGAACTCGTTTGGTTTTAGGGCTTGCGGGCAGGATTGTTCAGCTAGGCTTCCAGTACGGAAAACCTATAGAAACGCAAGCGCTCTGTCAAAACAAGGCTACCCTCGAACAGACAACTCCTGGCCGGAAATGCTCTGCCTTTCGACAGTTGCAGAGGACTTTGTGGCTCAGGGGTTCGAAAAAATGGGTTTCGAGTCTGTGAAGACGACACACTCGTTGGTATCCAAGCAGCTTGCAGCCCCGTTCCGCCTGACCCTAAGCCAAAGCCATGATAAAGGGTTAAGGGTTCACATACCATATATATATATATACCCTATACGAAAAGGGATTATGGTTCTTATATATATATATATATGTGTGACCCCAAATTGTTGAGTTCATTTCGTCCCCGAGTTCGGGCGCCTGCATCCGCGGTGATGCGATCTTCGAAGGTACGAAGCGCCTGTGGTGGGGCATCAATCGTGTGGACTATCGGTAAAAAGCTGCCCTAAACTGGAAATCCTGGTTATGGGGTTTAGGGTTCAGGGTTTAGGGTTTAAGAAGATACTAGACCCTATCATTCCAATGGTACGCCCCAGGACATCAAGCCCAAGTTCTCTAAACACAGGGTCACAGCGTCACAAGTTTCCACAGAAGACCAAGAACAGAAAGGGTCAGGGGGGGGGGGGGGGGGGGGGGGGGGGGGGGGGTGTCAGGGGGGTCAGGGGGGCCCCATGTGAAAATGGGTTCTTTTGGAGGGCAACCTAACCCACTCCAAAAAAAGGAAAAGCGGCACTGCAGGGCATCCTAGACCTAGGCAAGTCAAAAAGCACATCGATGGGTCAGATGGCGTAGCTCAAGGGCACCACATGCGCACGTCTTGTGAGCGAAACTAACCTACCTTGCAGGCTCCACGCAGCAATGCTTGCACCTCACGTGCACCTAGGCCACAGGGAAGGGCCCACCCGAAACCATAACCCCCTTTACCCTAAACCCTAAATCCTAATTAAACCCTAAATCCTAAACCCTAAACCCCTAAATCCTAAACCCTGCTGTGAGCCTCGTGCGCCCAAAGCTTGGCTAGCTGGAGCTTCTCGGTAAAGCGCTCCGGGCCGGCGCGCGCCACGCCTGGAGGCAGAGTTGTGCACGGCTTTGGGCTGGGGGGTTCTGTGTTCCACCTTCTCAAGGGTTTAGGGTTTAGGGTTTAGGGTTTAGGGTTTAGGGTTTAGGGTTTAGGGTTTAGGTTTTAGGGTTTAGGGTTTAGGGTTTGGGGGGTTTAGGGGGTTTAGGGTTTAGGGTTTAGGGTTTAGGGTTTAGGGGTTGTGTAGCGTTTCGCACTGAACTGTACTGAGCCACAGGCACATAGGGGAGATACGGATTACTTGAGGCGCAGTCTTGAAAGATGTTTTGATGTCGTGCACGGCTTTAAACCTTTCACGCCCACAAGGTGCTGAGCATTGAAGCTGCCATGAACATCGTAACATCTATAGGAACAGCCCTCCGGGTAAAGAGGGAGGGGGAGGGGTTTTCTGAGTTAGGGCTTAGGGTAAGTTTAGGATTTACGGGTGTGCGGTTCAGATCCAACTACACAACCATGCTCGAGAAGAGCAGCACGCTGTTGGGGGTTGTGGCGTCAAAACACAGGAGCCTTGAGGTGTAGGGTTTAGGGTTTAGGGTTGCAACCCTAAACCCTATGTTCTTGAAGCCTTGCTCGTCCATCGAACCTGCCAAAGTGCCTTCTTGCCTTGCGTGGCTTATGAGATGTTCGCTGCGCAACACCCTAAACCCTAAACCCTAAACCCTAAACCCTAAACCCTAAACCCTGGGAACTTAACCTCACAAGTATTGCCCCAGCTGAAGGCACGGCCTTGCAAGAGTCGCGAGACATCCCGGAGACCTCAGAAGCAAGTTGCTGCGAAGGATCCAGGGCTGGAACGCTAAGCCCAAACCCTAAACCCGACATCCTGGTCATGGCCTGGGGTTTAGGGTTTAGGGTTTAGGGTTTAGGGTTTAGGGTTTAGGGTTTAGGGTTTAGGGTTTAGGGTTTAGGGTTTAGGGTTTAGGGTTTACCCAGATGCGGCTGGGGTGTGAGGAAGGCATCGCTGCAAGAAGATAACTAGAGCGACGCCGGCAGAACGTAACATGAACATGCTCTGTGCAGCTCTGGAACTCCAAGCACACCCGTATCCCTTACGCCATGAGAATCGAACGGTATCCAACAACACAGCTGCCCGCTATATGAAACCCAAACCCTAGGCCCTCAACCCTAAACCTCAAAGACCCTACGCCCTAAACCCTAAACCCTAAACCCTAAACCCTAAACCTCAAAGGAAGAGCCCGCAGAATGTCAATGTGCTGAGCGTCCGGTTATGCCCAGCCGTCCGGCTGATGAGTGCCGGAAAACGTCCTTCGACTGTAAAAAAGGGTTTAGGGTTTAGGGTTTAGGGTTTAGGGTTTAGGGTTTAGGGTTTAGGGCTACTATATATAGGGGCCTTAATGATTAGAACAGGGTTTGCGGGGAGTTAATGTTTTACTTAGAGTATGACGATAAAAGGATCCTCAGGTAAGGGAATACGAGTAGTACTTATTCCGGCCCCTATAGTAGCGGGTTTAGGGCTGAGGGTTGAAAGCCGTAGGTTTAGGTTTTGAGTCCGTGGCATTTCGATACGCGAAGTCCTGCCTTGTTGAGCCTTTATCGTATGCCACAAGTATACAAGGAGGCAAGGTCACCGTAGGTATCACCTTTACCGTTAACTCCGATTCTGGCGTTGAAGCGAGGGTTCTCCCGTTGAACTGTGGACTGTGGACGTATATGAGTTCATCAAACTGAGAAGACTCATGTCCCAAAGGGTCAAGGCATTTCAATCGGGAATACTTGGATCCCAAGGGCAGTTACTAGAAAAAAACCCTAGGGTTTATAGGGGTTATAGGGTTATAGGGTTTAGGGTTCAAAAACATATCCACTATACCGGTACATGGGCCCGTCGATCTTGTGATGCTTCCTCTTGCTGGGGCGGCGTGGCTTTGGATGGTACGGCGCGAACACGGGAATAGTACCATCCTAAACCAAAAAACCCGAAATTCTAAACCCTAAACCCTATAAACACTAAACCCTAACTTAACCCCAAAATCCCAAACCCTAAATCCCAAACCCTAACCAGCTGGCGGGGCAGCTTGCCGTACGCACACGTACATTCAGTGTGGCCTCTCAGTCCCCGCACTAAGCTTTAGGGTTTTGGGCTTAGGGTTTAGGGTTTAGGGTTTAGAGCTTCTTTAAACACAAAGCAACCGTGCATTGCAGGTCACGTCGAATTCCGCAGGGGCCTTCATCAACTTTGTCAAGTGCAGTGTAGACAATGCCAGGGCGTCCTGGAGCCAAATCGGGCGAAGCTGTTCAAGATGAAGTCAAAGAACAAAGGACACTCCAAAGAAGGGCAGAAGAGATGAGCCACCTCCACAAAAAGTATGCAAAAGTATCTGAAAGGGCACAAGGATCTCAATACATTAAAGTTAAAGAGGCTAACCCTAAACCCTAAACCCGAAACCCTAAACCCTAAACCCTGAACAGACTGGAGGCTTCAGCAGGCACAGGCACAGGGTTGAGGTTGGCAACGGCTGAAAAAGTCCCAGTGCCTCGACCTTGTACTGGCGTGCAGCGGTGCCGTCCTCTGCTGCAAAGTGCAGGACTTACGCAAGCTGGGTTTAGGGTTTAGGGTTTAGGGCTTAGAGTTTAGGGTTTAGGGTTTTGAGCTTGAGAGCCATTTCGGGTCTCTCTAGCGATCGCAGGCTTTAGCGCTTCAGCTTCAGGTAGTCATGGGTAGGCCTGAACCTGAAATGCTGAAAAAGAAAACCGGAAGTATTGAAGGATGCTCGATAGACTGATCATGGGGGAGCTGTGCATGCACGAGGCCGATTTGATGTGCATCCTGAAGGCCTAGGGTAAACTCCAAGTTCTCCTGTGACATGGGCACTTAGGCCAGGAGCTAAACCCTAAACCAATAAACCCTAGACCCTAGACCCTAAACCCTAAACCCGCATGTCGAAGCTATTGTCTCATAGCTTCTTCGCCCCTGACCTCTCCCAGCAACTGAAAAGGCCTTTCTGGGGGAAGCGGCATGGAGGACCAAGCCCGGTGACAACACCCCCTGGCAACTTCAACTCCTGACTCTCAAATGGCTCACCCTAAACCCTAAACCCTAAACCCCAAACTCTAAACCCTAAACCCTAAACCTCAATCTTAACTCTGCAAAACCCCACGAGCAGTGCAGTCATGGGCGGAGAAGGCAGCAACTAGGCCGTCGCCTGCGCCATGCACCTGCTGACCCCGGAAACCCACAGGATTTTGGGTTCAGGTTATTCTAAACCCGAAACCCTAATTCCTAAACCCGAAACCCGAAACCCTAAACCCTAAATCCTAAACCCTAAACTCTAAACCCATTTCGGATGTTGGAGAAGGCTTCGGGTTGCCATTGCGAGGCTGCCTGCAGCACTTCCTCCCCAGGGCCATGGTTTCTGGCAGCTCTGGGGGTGGGAATTTGTGTGGAATTCAAGCTGCGTGTTTGGGGGGTTAGGGTTTAGGGTTTAGGGCTACTGGACTTAAGAGTAACTAAGACCCATCCACACCCCCCAAAGGCCCCATGTAAGGTGCTAGCCTTTTTCAGGCTGCTACCAAGTATTACCAAGTATTACCAAGAACCACGATTCTTTTATGAGCCTGCAGTAGGCAACTATAACCCCAAAAACCCTAAACGCCGAAGGCGCCCTTCACTTTCAAAGACTAGGGAGACGCGGCAAAATCGTTGAGCACTGCCCAGTAACCATATTACAATGAGGGCAGCCCTTTGATGGGTTGGTTACTTTACAAGGGAACCTTGAACAAAAAAAAGGGAAAAGGGGTAGCACGAGGCTACCAAGCTCTTCCATGTCTTCAGCCTGAAGGATCTGCCGGCACACATCCATGAAGATCTTCTTGACCTTCCGCGGAAACCACCCAGAGCCCTGAAAAAAATGCAAGGAGGAGATCCCTTACAAGGGTCCTAAACATGACCCAATAGTAGCAAAGAGTAGATCCCTTTTAAAGGAACCTAAAAATGACCCAATAGTAGCAGCAGAGGGTACGGCTTGAGGGTCTCTACTTTCTGGATCTTCCCAGGGGGTCTGGGCACGTGACCGAGCAACCTTCGAAACTTGAAGAAGCCCAACGTAGGGTTTAGTGTTTAGGGTTTAGGGTTTAGCGCTTAGGGTGCCAAGTCTCCGGTTGAAATTCTATGGAGAGCCGCGGGCTCAGGTTTCCTCTCATCGCCCTTCTTCCCTGCAAGTCTTGGGAGCCAGGATCGCTCAAATGTGCCCAAGGTCATGAAAGCACTCAAAGGCCGAAGTCTGCCATGCAGTTCTGCTGTCTCTCAGTCACACATGTGTAGTAAGATTGGTGTATATGGGCACCCCCCCCCCCCTCCGAAGGCCATGGAGTATCTTCAACTAGCTAGGAATCAGAGGAGGTGGCCCTTTTAAGGGAACTCCCCCTTGACACAAGACTGTAAGGGCGCCCCCTTTAAGGGAGCCTAAAACCCTCCTTAAAAAACAAGGGAATAAGGGCTAAACCCTAAACCCTAAACCCTAAACCCTAAACCCTAAACCCTAAACCCTAAACCTTAAAAAACAAGGGAATAAGGGCCCACTCTGACCCGGGCAGATCCCAGACCATCTTGAGCCCAGCTGCATCCTCCTCTGCCAGCTCCGGCATGAAGAGCCTTGGGGACCCTACGAACAGCCCGCAAACCCCTAAATCCTAAATCCTAAATCCTAAATCCTAAACCCTAAACCCTAAACCCTAAACCCTAAACCCTAAACCCTAAACCCTAAACCCTAAACCCCCTCAGCCTAGACGGACTGAGCCCCAAGGCCTACGCCCCAAACTCTTCTCAAGGCTGATTTGAGTCTACAAGGAGCTCGATGAAGTGCCGCGCCAGGCGAGGGCCCAGGAGGCCGCTCTGGGCGCCTTCTGTTTCTGTCTTGTTGATCTTGTTTACTACTGGAATCTCTTGCGCTGCGGTGTGTGTGTGTGTAGGGGGGATTTAGGGGTTGTTCTAAAGTCCTTTAAAGGGATGGGCCATGGAAGAAGAGTCTCCTAAAAAGGGGGAACCGGTGCCAAAAACAATGGGAACCTAGCTTATGAACACTTTAGGGGCAGGTCCTTTCGTTGCTACCATTTCTTGCTTTTAGGCTGGCTTTGGGTAGCTAGGATGGCCCTTAAAACCCCCTTGAAAAATATTCCAAAATATGATCGTCTTGAGCCCAATAAGGCGAAAGAAAAAATATCCCAACGGCTTACCGAGGTTAGGAGCCCTGAAACCCTCACCTTGTGTGGGTTTGGGGGGTCGAGGCCTCTGGACGCTGGATCGACTTTTGTGGGGATCCGAACCTTCAAGCCTGTCCTTCCCCTTCTAACATAGGAAAATCCTACAGAGAGTTGCTACCTTGCCCTTGGAACATAGGAAAATCCTATAGGTCCGAGGGCTGCTATAAGGAAACCTGAGCCCTAACTGCCCTCCCCACTTGCATGTGATTGGAGCACCAAGGCTGGCCTGGAGGTCCTGGCTGAGCTCCTCAGACATGCAGGGTTTAGGGTTTAGGGTTTAGGGTTCAGGGTTTAGGGTTTAGGGTTTAGGGTTTAGGGATAGGGTTTAGGGTCTTTGTTCTGTCGTGGTTCTGACGGCACCTCTCTCGGGTTCTCCCGTATCCTGCGGGCTTTGGGTGGCCTCAGTGTTTGAGTCAGGCAGGCAGGGTCCTCACATTCACTCCATCCTAACCTCGGTGCTTAAAGGGTTGAGGGTTTAGGGTTTAGGGGTTTAGGGGTTTAGGGGTCCGCCGACCCTGGCGGCGTGTTGGATGGGAAAGGGAGGTGAAAACCTCCCTCTTTCCCTCCTTACCCCCCAAAATGCGGGGGGGTACCCCGCCAGCTTTTGAACAGGCCACCCACACCGCGTAAACTCATGGACCATAGGCGTTTTCGCACAGGGCATAGGGGCTCTTTTGGAAAAAACCCCTGTTTGGGGCTGCCCCCCTCTTCCCCCCCCCCCCCCCCCCCCCCCCCCCCCCCCCCCCCCCCCCCCCCCCCCCCCCCCCCCCCCCCCCCCCCCCCCCCCCCCCAACAGGAACCGATCACCAAACCCCAAACCTTAAACTTGTTCTCCTGCGGGGTCGGCGGCTTGAGCCGGAGGCTCTTAAATTTAGGGGTTTAGGGGTTTATGGGTTTAGGGGTTCAGGGTTTAGGGCTTGGAGCTTGGGGCGCCTTAGGGGCTTCTTGAAAAGCCTGCACGGGCCACCTTGTCCCGTCAGCCCCGGTGCCGCACTGCTCGCCACGACGTGGATCCCTGCAAGGCGGGGTGGGGGTTAAGGATTTAGGGACTTTATGGTTTAGTATACTAAACCGTAAAGTCCCTAGATCCTTTACCTATAGTTTTGTAAGTTTAGTACTTAGTGCTTCTCGGCGGAAGGGATATGCAGATGTTGATTCCGCCATGAAATTGCAGTCGCAATCGGTGGACCGGATAGCGATGCCAATATACACGTACCCTGAAATACTACGCAAGCCCATAAGCCCTCGACCCTAAACCCAAAACCCTAAACCCTCAACCCCATTAAACCCTGAACCCCCGACCCCAAACTCGAAACCTCTGGGGGGCGCCGCTGGTTGACCCCATTCCTCGAACTTCGCACCCGCCCCCAAAACAAAACATGTTTAGGGCTTATAGGGCTTTTTGGGGCTTACACTTGTTTAGGCTCCCCCACGCCCCCCCCCAACTTTCCCGGTTTATCTGCTGAGTACCCACTGTTAAGCCCTGTCAGTCCCTTAGGGCCCAGGTGGGGTCTGGAGAGCTGATCGAGGGTTGTACCGCCAAGTGCCATAGAGATGCCACCTGACTGGACATGCTTCGTGATTCTTCTTTGGCCTGTAGGTTTCCAGGGTTCAAGATGAATTCTGAGAGGTTGCTATTGGATTGTTCCCCTTTCTGCTACTACGCGCTTTCAGGGATTATAATAGGGGGGGGGTACTAATCCCTTTCAAGCACTCTTAGTATCAGGGGGAATATCCCAAGGTTGCTATTAGGAGACAAGCCAAACCCCTTAACCCTTGAAACCCCTCAGGGCCTTCTCCTGGAAGCCATGAGTCGTCCTGGCATGATCTGATACTATTGGAGTTTAGGGTTTAGGGTTCAGGGGTTAGGGCTAGGGTGGCAAGATCTCAAAAGGAACAGGCATCGGGTTGTTTCTGTAGACCGCCCTACGATTTCTATTAACGATCCCTGGCTGCTCCACCACCGAGCAACAGCTTACCCAGACCTGCCTGCGTCTTCTGGCTCACGTAGAATAGAATGCGGCTTAGGGTCCAGAGTATGTGTCCAGCAGTTCCACTTCCGCCACAATGAAACTAGACACGGTTAACGAACTCCTACAACTTCAAGAAGTAGTACTACAAGGGCACCCTCTGGGTGTGACACCAAACGAGCACGCGGACTCTACAAGAAAAGCCACGCGTGCAAAAACACTATCCCAGATTCAGGAAAGGATCTAAACGTGCAGCGTGGTAAGCTGCTTGGTTCTTAAGCCCTAAACCCTATAATTAAGCCCGAAACCCTAAACCCTAAACCCTAAACCCTAAACCCAAAACCAGGTGCTGGGGTGTCGGAGTGCTTAGGCAGGCACCTTGCTGCTTCGCAGCCCACGCTGGTCCATGAAGCCACGGAGCCTAGACGCGAAGGAGGTGTCTGGGGCAGGGTTTAGGGTTTAGGGTTTAGGGTTTAGGGTTTAGGGTGTAGGGTTTAGGGTTTAGGGTTTAGGGTTTAGGGTTTAGGGTTTAAGGAGAGGGGTGGGGGGGGGGGTCTGGGGTTTGGGGTGAGGGACCCTACGTTGCTTTTGGATCTTGCTTGCGCCTTCTCCTAGAATTCTCATTTTCTGTCATGTTAACAAAGTAACAAAACATGCGTACATAAATATCAACATTATAAATACGTATGTATACATTTATAAATATAAATAAATAAATAAATATATATATATATAGAAAGAGAATAATTTTGAAAATTTTCTGGACCTGATTCAGACATGATAGGGGCAACTTGGGGAATTTGATTGGGGAGGGGGGGGAGGGGGGGGCACGGGCAGGTTTACGGTAGGTTGCAGAGAGTACGGGTTTTAGAATGTAAGAGGCGGCAAGAATTGCAAACTCCACGTTCTGATGCAAATGGCTCCGCATGCCTGGCTAGCATGACCGCTCTTGGACAAGCTATAGCTGGTGGGTTGAGAGTTCAAAGCAACCAATGAGCCCTAAATGCTTGCCATGACACATGTCTAGGAAGGGACCGAAAAGGTTCCCAAGGGAAGATGCCAGGGAGCACAGGTCTATAGCTTGGTGGCCCAGTAACCGAATGGAAAAAAGAGGGCCCTTTTTGGGTTGGTTGCTTTATAAGGGAACCTTGTACCAAAGATAGGGAAAGGTACCAGGCCAGCGTACATGTTTGACATGCCACGGAGATGGGCCAAAACACATCCAAGGCTGAAACATCGAAGCTCTTCGCGTGTTCTGGGGTTTAGGTTCCTGGCACCCAAAGCCTCGACCCTATCTGTGGCGAAGCCCAAGAAACCTGGCAACGAAGAGCACACGTAGGGAGCTCACCTTGCACGCTGGTTCCCTTTGTAAGCCCGAAAACACGAGACCGCAACTCCACAACCCATTTGAACCCCAAACCCCTGAGCTTTCAACCCTAGCGGCTCTTAAGCATCCTGAAATTGTGAAGGCTCCCGAAACCCTAAAGTGTTAAACCCCTAAGCCCGCTTACACCCTTCGAAGCCCTGTTTAAGCCTTAACACCAATATGGTCAAAAACTCCCACAGAACCCCCTGAACCCTCTAAAACCCACAGCCCGAAACCCTAGACATCCCTAAACCCCAAAAACCCCAAACCCTACCCCCACAAACCCTGAACGACTTCAACTTTGGGATGTTCACCCTTATACTGTCCGTAATCGTACCCTCCTCCTATTAGAATCCCAGCTAAGGACTGTTAGTATAAGGGGGAACATCCCAACCCTAAACCCTAAACCCTAAACCCTAAACCCTAAACCCTAAACCCTAAACCCTAAACCCTAAACCCTAAACCCTAAACCCTAAACCCTAAAACTCAAACTCCCTGGGACCAAGCCGCATCTCCAACGTCCCGTGCCGTGGCAGGTTCAAGTCCTCGATGCGGATCCTGGGAAGGGTTTCGGGGTTTTAGGGGTTTTAGGGTTTTTGTCTGTTTTTTGGGTTTTAGGGTTTTTGTGCTTTTTGGGGCTTTAGGGTTTTTGTGTTTTTGGGGTTTAGGGTTTAGGGTTTAGGGGTTTTTGAGGTTTTAGGGGTTGTCGGAAATCTTTCGGGGCTTCCGGATTGTAGGATTTCGGGATCAGGGAGTCGGAAGGGCTCTGCTATGCTGCCTGAAAGTGAACCTGGGAGGTGCGCAGCCCACCGAAGCTCCCCTTTCGTTTGGGGTTTAGGGTTTAGGGTTTAGGGTTTATAGGGTTTAGGGTTTAGGGTATAGGGTTTATAGGGTTTATAGGGTTTAGGGTTTATAGGGTTTTTAGGGTTTTTAGGGTTTCGGGTTTAGGGTTTAGGGTTTGTCAATACCCGCCCCCCTCCGCCCCTCCCCAGAAAAGCTAAAGAGGTACACCCATATAGGAAGAGATGGCGGGAGGGAACGTTTCCGTTGGCCGGAGTGCACCCCAGGCCGTCCACTCACTCACTCACTCACTCACCCATATAGGTGCTTATGAGGAATCCTTGCGCGGGGTTCAGGTTCACTGTTCACTCAAACCCTAACCCAAACCCTACACCCTATACACCCTTAACCCTGTACCCTAACCCCCACCCCCCCCCCCTTCCCGGGGTAGGTTTGGAGGACCTGCAGATGACTTGCCATGACTGTATAAGGATGATACAGGGGACTAAGGGTAATAAAAATCAAAAAACTATGTGCAACCCTACCGCTCTCCCCCCCCGAAGAAAAAAGAAACTCAAATCTGCAAGCAAAGCTTCAGCATCTGCCCTGCGAACAGGCGCCGGCCGGGTCGACACTGAAGCGCTGCCTGGCCCGTGAACCCTAAACCCTTCTTGACGGTTCATGGGTTTAGGGTTTAGGGTTTAGGGTTTAGGGTTTAGGGTTTAGGGTTTAGGGCTACTCGAAGGTTCAAGGGTATAGTGATAAGTATAGCTTTAAAAATAAGGCTATAACCAGCTATAAATATAGTTAGCCTACCTACAAGCACTTATAACTACCCATGAACCTCCAAGCACAAACCCAAAACCCCTGACAGCACAGGGTTTGGAGTTGGGTGTTTGGGGTTTGAGGTTTGGGGTTCAGGCCGCAAGCGAGAATCGGACTTCATGGTGCATATATTGGTCTTATCTGTTGGACATGAAGGAAAAGACGCCCCATTCTTCATCAGCTTCGTGATCCACCGGGAGCAGAAACCAAACGAGCAGCGATGAAAACGCTAAGCCGCCAAGCCTTAAGCCTAATGAAGCCTTGCCCCACAATGTTCAGGCTGTTTCAGCCTTCATCATGACTCTCAGTGACGATCACTGGTTACCAACTCAGCCAAAGTACGCAGAGTCCATCTTGCCCTACCCACCACTATGGTTTCACATTTTCCCATGTGCAATGTTGCATGGCTTCTGGGTTTAGGGTTTAGGGTTTTGGGTTTAGGGAACCCTAAACCCTAAACCCTAAACCCTAATTCCGCAATGGTACTGCACATGGATCCTCTGGTACTTCACATCTGCGGGCCCATTTCGACCCAAGAAAATGCCCTGCTTAAAGACCCTAAGCCTAAACCCTAAACCCTAAACCCTAAACCCCTTGAATCTCCCCGTCCCCAGCCCCTTCGACATGTCTGCCGGCGAGCGGCTGCTGTCAGCGATGCGTGCATCTCCGCCGGGTGGACTTGACGGCTGAAGACGGTTCCTGTGCACTGTACAGTTTAGGGTTTGGGGTTTAGGGTTTAGGGTTTAAGGTTTAGGGTTTAGGGTTGAGCGCTCAGGGGCCTTTAAGATGGCAACACGCCTGCTGTTGGGGCAAGAAGGCCAATCTTTGGGGATTCTTGGCGGAGCCTGACACCTGTAAACTGCCCTAAGCTGCAGTCCTAGGGCCGAAGACCCGACTTCGGACCGCCTCACCCAAGCATCCCTCAATCAGGCTTTGGGGTTTTAGACTTTAGGGTGTGGCTTGATCCAAATGTTGGTATTGGTTCGGGGACCCTGTCATCGTACATTCCATAATGTCTGCAAGCCAAACGGTACAGAATTCATTTGAGATCAACTCGATTTCGCATATATGACGTATCTTGAAGAGTCCTTGCAGGGGTCACAACAGACCTGAGCCTAAACCCCAACAAAAGCCGAACCTTCGGGCTTTTGTTTTTAGGTGCGACATCATGCGCTTCAGCCAAGGATTTGTTGCGTTTCGGGTGCCGAGGGTCCTTCGGGAATTTACGGCATTTCGGGCGTTTTGGCGAGTACAGTATAGTGTTTCCGAGCACATGGACCCTCTAGGCTACCCCGAAGCTGAGGATTGTAAGATGCACGTTGCTTGTAGCATCCTTGGTTGAGTAAAATCTGGGCCATGGGTCTTACCTCGGCTTGCTGGGGATCTTGAAAGTTTGGGTTTAGGGTTTGTAGGGTTTGTAGGGTTCAGGGTTTAGGGTTTAGGGTTTAGGGTTTAGGGTTTAGGGTTTTGGGGGAGAGTGATAGTTCTTGGGCCACGTACCCTCAAACAAAACAAACACCCTCGAGGATCGTGCCTACAGTCACCCACTTCTGCAGCACGGCCAACGACTGCTCTGTGGAGGACACCGTCCTCAGCGTTGGGCACTGTATGTGTGCGGGTGTCTCATGTATGCTCCTAGGAGGCACTGTCGTATTTAGGGTTTAGGGCTTAGGTTTAGGGCTTAGGGTTTACGGTTTAGGGTTGATGTGTCTGGGGTTCTCGCCCCCGCGCCAGAATGATCGAGCTTGGGGGCTTTCTACATCAGTGATCCAGAAATCGAGTCAAACGAAGCCCCCCCTAAAGTATGAAATATACTACGACTGCCGGTCATCACCAAATGGGGGTCCCTGTCTGGAGTATCCTAAATACAAGGCCTCGTACTCCTTAGTATGACAGGAATTTAGAGAACTGCCGCCTCATAACTCCCAGACTCCTGGCTTCCAGTTGGGGAACTAATAGGGTTTAGGGTTTAGGGTTTAGGGTTTAGGGTTTAAGGTTTAGGGTTTAATCAAGAGGTTTAGGGCTTGAGTTGTGATGCGCATTCTTCATCGACACCAAGTGTCATTGTCTTGCCGACGCTGGGGCTGCCAGAAATGAACCTCAGAAACCAGCCCAAGCAGTTTTGGATACAGACTGCCCCGAACATATATGGCGTTTAGGGTTTACGGTTTGGGGTTTGGGGTTTAGGGCTACTAAGCCCTAGAACCCTTACGCCAAAAACAGACTTGAGGATTGGAGCCAAAGCCTCGCAAGGGGGCAATGACCCGAACTCCTCACAACAATCTTTTCTGCCTCCAATACTATGTCCACCTGCTCGCCCGAAAACATTATGGGACATGACCTTTTGACAACCTGCAAAGGTACCCTTGATGGCTTCAGCCCTCAGTGTGGACATGAATGGGATTGCATGCCCCCTAGGAAGCTCTGACAGCTCTGCGCCGCAGGAGGCTGAACTCCAATGGCCAGACCTTCCTCAACGGCAGACCCAGAAACCCTAAACCCTAAACCCTACACCCTAAAACCTGTACTGTTCAAAGGTGTTTGTTGGCGACTGGGAGGCTTGTTGAGACTGATGCCGACTCCAGTATGTCACAGGTCGCAGATGCGGCGTCATATGACGTTCCCCATAAGATTGCAGATCCCTGGAGAATGCAGGGACATAGACAAATTCTTCAAAATGTGACCCGCAAAGCCCACTGGCAAGCAATTGCAACCGCCCAGGGGCACATTGTTGCCGGCAAGAAGAAGGGTATAGCTGAGGTAGCTGTACGACATCCTTGCTCAAACGAGGTTAGGGACTCATGATTAGCTTCGTGCTTACAGGCAAAGGCAAGAGTTTCCCGCAGCTCCACTTATACAGCACATTTTTGCGGTGGGGAGGGGGGGATGGGGGGAGGGCTTGGGTGTCCGAGAGGTTATTCGAATCTGTAGCTTGGAAAACATAAATACGCGCTCTCTGTGAAAGGCATTCTCTTGGTACAAACAAGGTCCAAAAGCCTAGCCAATTCTGACAATACGTTTGTGGGCTGGGAGGCGATTTCGCCTGTGTGGAGGATTTGTGAGGAGTTTGTTTTGCAGATTGCCTAGAGCCATATGGGTTGAAAGCAAGTATCTTGTCGCGGGGGAGGGGATGCTACTAGCAAAGGCGGTCTATAAAGCGCCCCTTGTGTTGAACAACCCCTATACAAACTCTGCTGTCGAAGTCCTGGGCACTGTGCAACCTGCTCTAAACCCTAAACTCCAAGCCCCGAATCCTAATCAGCAAAGGAGCACTTATTCAACCACAATTTGGGTTTCATTAGATTGCACTATGGCGTACCCAGAGTAACCTAAGTGCTTCAAAAGAAGGACACTGCCCCGGGCACACTTCCAAGATCAACCTGCAGTAGGGTTTATGGGATACTCGGGTAATCCTTATACCCTTTGAGTGCTCGCGCGCAAAAAAAAACATAATGGCCTTGACATGCAGAAAACCTACACCTTGACTTGTACAGTTCTGGGATCTTAAAGCTCTGAGAAGTTATACCCAGCGTAGCCTTGCACCTTAAGCAACAGTAAGGATGTACCCAACGCTTGCCGTGCCTGTGCCTTCTGTTAAGCCTATAATATGAAAGGTTCCTTGGAGTCCTTTTAAATTGGCAACGTGCGCCAGGATCCAGTGCAACAGAGTTTCCCGGGCACGGTTGGCACAGCCACGTCTCCGTAATGCGCTCTCTTGCTCTGGTCCTGCATCCGGGCAGGCAAGATTATATGGTTCTTAAGACAGGGGTGTTCAAGGTATGAAACGCAAAGCGACCTTATACTCCCTACTACGCCCTAAGGCTCCCCAAGCTTCCCTAAGATTCCCTCGATACCTACCCCCCATGAACCCCCCTCCCCTAAGAACCCTAGAACAATAGAACAAGCTGACTACAGGTGGTTCATAAAGACGCAAGGGGATGGCAGGGAGGAGGGTGTAAGGGCCCCATCTTCCCCACATAAGGGCCTAATAATCCCAAAGAAGCCTTAGTAACTAGGCGCCCAAAAGCTTTGGGAAGTCCAAGCCGCAGGCCCCCGCCTCATGCATGGCCACGGGAAGCTGGGAGTACCAAGGATTCAGGTAGCCAGTCTCCTGATCCTGTCTTCGAGAAGCACAGAGAGATCAAAAGTTTAAGGGACTTCAGGGCTCAGGCTTTAAGGGTTTAGGGTTTAGGGTTTAGGGTTTAGGGTTTAGGGTTTAGGGTTTAGGGTTTAGGGGCATTCGGCTTCGGCGTGGCCGGGCCAGGCATTGCACGATTTAGGTTGCGTTTGGGCTGGAGAACTGCAGAGTTTGGGATTCATTCGTGTGCTCCGGGATGCAATGTAAAAAAGATGTTGCAACCAAACAGGGGGCACACAAGTCATCTTAGCGGATTTCGCCTGGCACAAGATGACGCTACTTTTTTGTGGTAGAACGCCTTCAGGGCAACAAAAACACAAGAACAAAAGTAACACCCAAAACATGACCCTACAACCCCCACGTCCGGGGCAGCCCTGCTGTTGAGACATGCTATCACCTATCACCCCTGTAAACCCTTCATACTTGGATGCGTGTTACCCTTTTGCCTTCAAGAAACGGGGCCAAAGATCAACCCTACATACCCAATAGTCTTCGACCCCTACATCCGCTCACTTTCCTGGATTGGGAGTTGGAGACCCTGCACCCCAAGCCTCAACCCTTTAGGGGTTTAGGGTTTAGGGTTTAGGGTTCCCAACCCTCCTGAAGCTTCAACGAGCGAATGCCCGAAACATCGAAACACCGAAAGACCTGATAACCTCAGGGTTAATGACCTCCGAAGGCTTTTCTAAAAAGCTCAGGTGAAGAAGGTTCGGGGCCCTCAGCCGCCTACCTTCTGCCCCCTCCAAAAAACCCTAAGCAAACCTTAAAAACCCAAAAAAACGCCTCAACAAAACCCTAAGCAAACCTTAAAATCCCCCAAAAATCGCGCCTTGGAGCTGCCGTCGACGAAGACGTCCGTGAGCCTGGGGAAGCAGAAAGTTGCGGGCTTCGGGCCGTTCAGGGTCTAGAGGTCTTCTTTACCTGAAGTCTCTAATGTAGTTCCTTTTTGGGTTCTAGTATATACTACCCCAAAAAGGTACTACATAGGAGCTCTTAGGTGGTGCGTTGCTGTTCTGGAATGAGGTCTCCCAGAGGGTCCATTTGTAATACTACTATGGATTTAGGTACCCCAAAACCCTATTGAGTAGTGCTTTTTTGGGTACCTAATTCCATAATAGTAATACAAATGGACCCTCTGGGTCTTCTTTACCTGAAGTCTCTAATGTACTTCCTCTCGGGGTTACGTATAGGGGGTTCTAGTATATACTACCCCAAAAAGGTACTACATAGGAGCCCTTAGGTGAAGCGTTGCTGTTCTGGAATGAGGTTCCCACCCCAAATCTCAAAAACAAGAGACAGCCTGTATCGAATGGCGTTTTGGAGGCCTACAACTCGATGCGTTTAGGGGTCATTTCTTGATCGGGTTGTTCAGGTTCCGTCAACGCCTTAATATCCCTGAAGCTCAGTATCCGAATCGGGCCCTGGTCCCTTCTTCCTGCAAAGCCCACAGCCCTAGGTCCCCAATGAACCTGGCAATCAACAGCGGGAACCATGCTCCCCGGGTTCGTGGCTGTGACGGACTGAACCTAACTCAAAGAAACCCAGAGGGTTGCCGTGGCAAACCTGCTACGGAGTCTGGCACCCCCCAAAAAATCCTGAACCCTAAACCAAGCTATAAGAGTTTTTGGTTAGCAAACGGACCCACGAAAAGCAAGAACAAAGGATCCTACTGGGGGTTGTCTACAAGTTCAGCCACAAGAACCATGGATCCCCGGTAGCCTGGGAATATCAAAAGGAACCAGAAGGGCTCCTTGATAGCATTGGGTGGTTACACTGACCCCCCTTTCCCCTCCCCCCCCCCCCAGCCCCAAACAAAAAAAGGCTTGGGCTTGTGTGGCTGGGTCTAGGAACTAAGGGTGCGGCTTGTGGCATCCCTTCGGAAGTTGGAAGCCGGGGATGTTCGCCTGGGGCACTTGGATAGAGTTTTCGAGCTCGGCAACGCAAGGCTGCAACCATCGATGAAGGTGCCGGCCTGGCACCACCTGCTCAGCTCCCGAAGCGGGATGCCGTTCGGCCCGATTGCGACGGACCACGTCAAGGCGAAGGCATAGCCTTCAGCGGTGATTCGGTTCTTCAGTACCTTTACAAGGCTTGCCTAAAACATGTTTAAAGCTTGAATGATCTTGCTTACCCACGACACGTTCTCAATTTGGGGCTTTGGCACACATTGGCTTCCCTAGAGCTGTCCACCCATGCAGCTTGAAAAAGGGCGACATGGGATTCTGTGTCTTGCTGCTCCTTATCACGAAGCATCTCGCGCAAACCCTAAACCCTAAACCCCAAACCCCAAAACCCTAAAACCCTAAACCCAGACCCTAAACCCTAAACCCCAAAACCCCAAAGGGACAAGAGGCAGGCACCAGCATAGCGAACGTAATCGAAGGCCACAGCCTCCGGCTGGTTGGCCTTCGTGACCATCCTGAGGATCAAGAACTCCAAGCCCAAAGCCTTGGACCCTGAGCCCTTGAGTTCCTAAGCCAGGGTTTAGGGTTTAGGGTTTAGGGTTTAGGGCAACTCCTCTGAATTCTGGTCCCTTTTGGGGCTAACATTGTAAGGCGGCCCCTAAAGACTTGGGTACCCCAAAAGAGGACCGAACTGATCATAGCCCTAAACCCTAAACCCCAAACCCCAAACCCTACACAAGCCATAACCCTAAACCCAAAACCCTAAACCCTATGTAAACCCAAAACGCTAAAAGGGTTGTGCAATGTAGAGAGAATGAAAGTTCCCCAAGCCCCTCTCAAACTTCGGATGCACCAGCGAGGCGCTTCTTTTAGGGTTTCGGGTTGAGGGTTCAGGGTTTTAGGGCTTCAGGATTCTGAAGCAAAGATACCCTACTGTGTGCTTAAGAACCCTCGAACAGATAAAAGCTAGTAATCCCTTATTACCCTTATGATTTCCCTTATAATTGTCTATAATATATATATATATACATATTTAGTTTATATCTTTCTTCATGTATCTATAGAATTTGTGAGTGTTATTATTTTGTTGGGGGGGGGGGGCGGGTTTTTAAGCAAATGGCAGTACCATGTGCCAGAGCCGAGGTCTGCCACCCGCAAGCCTCTCTCCCAACCCTACCACGAGTGATGTCTGGTACGTCTACTGTGACGTGAGCACCCGGGAGTTTAGGCAAGGGCTCCTACGAAGTACCTGTTTGGGGTAGTATACTAGAACCCCCTAGAAGTAGCCCAGAAAGGAACGACATTAGAGACTTCAGGTAGGTACATGATTGTGTGGATATAATAGTTATGTAAGAAGTACACATATTGTGACGGGGAGGGGGGGGGGGGTGCCCAGAGGGTAACTTTAGGTGGAACCCTAAACCCTAAACCCTAAACCCGAAATCCTAAACCCTAACCCTAAACCCTAAACCCTAAACCCTAAATCTACAGAGCGTCGGGTTCGCAACAGCTCGTAAGTTTCAGGGTCTCTCCTGGTCAAATTCCAGTGGGCTTCTCAGGGTTCACGTTTTAGTGGTAGGGCTGGGGCAGCATCCTCGTGGGCCCTCCTGAAGCTTTGCACGTAGCCCCTTCAACCCTATAACCCCGATAAACCCTACAAACCCTACAAACCCTATAAACCCTACAAACCCTATAAACCCCATAAACCCTATAAACCCAATGAACCCTGTAAACCCTATAAACCCTATACACCCTAAACACCCTAAACACCCTAAACACCCTAAACACCCTAAATCTACAGGCAGGACATCTCCAGTGTCAGCCCAGACTCTCGGCGAAGGCCTCAAACCGACCCGTCATCTCCTTCCTCCACAGGGGGTATAGTTCCCAAAATAGGGTTTAGGGTTTAGGGTTTAGGGTTTAGGGTTTAGGGTTTAGGGTTTAGGGTTTAGGGTTTAGGATTTAGGGCCCAACATAAGGGGTACCCCTTTTATGCCCAACATAGAATAGAATCCCTGAAAGGGACCCCCCAAAAGGGCACCGCTATTTTCAGAAACTCCCACAGGATTGGGAGTTTGCCATTCTTTTCGCGACGGGTTCAAGAAAGGTCCTGTGAGAATGGGCAATGGGACCACGATTTAAGCGAGCAGAAGTGCGTGTCTAGTCAGGATGTGCATGCATATGGGGCAGTTTAGAATATATCTATCTAGGGGATGATGTTGGACATATTCGAGGCTCCGGTATTCTACCCCATACGACGCAAAGCGCTTGAAACCTTAGCTTTGGTGTTCCCACAACCTTCAGCATCTCGCCCTAAACCCTAAACCCTAAACCCTAAACCCTAAACCCTAAACCCTAAACCCTAAACCCTGAACCCTTGTAAAACCCACCACCATGGAATCCGCTGGTTTGGAGGAGGCCTCGACTGTGCGGTCATCACCTGAACAGAGATTCTGCCTTCTTCTAACTGGGTTTAGGGTTTAGGGCTTAAGGTTTAGGGCCTTCTTGTCCCTAATCTGAGCTGCAACCCGCTTTTCAGGCCTTCTTTTGGGGGGTTTCAGGGTTTAGGGTTTAGGGTTAAGGGTTAGAGCTTCGTGCTCAGGGTCATTTCTTCTAAGGTTCGGGTCGCTTAGCCCCCTCGTCATGGTTTCGGGGTTTACAATAACGCTTTCGGCAATGCGCTTGGGCTTCACTGTAGAGGTTAGAAAGTACTGTACTGGAACCGCCTCCTAAAAGAAAAGAAGTCGCAAAAAAATATGTAACGCGTTGTGAATGCACCTTCTGGATGTAGGGTGGACTAAGCTTTGGCCGTCAGGGGGCCATAGACAGCGATGTGGAGAGGTGTCGGCCGGCAGCAAGCTGGCCTGAAGCATATAGGGGTTGTACCTTGGGCCCTTCAGGATGCACGCTTGGGTTGAAAGATCCTTCAGGTAGTATGAGGGCCATGGTAGGAGTATAGCAAGGGGAACCTTTAGGGGTACAACCTTAGGGGCAGGAGTCTGAATCCACCCTTGGGTTGAAAGATCCTGAAGGTGGTACAGTATCTGTCTCTGAGCGTTTCTTGAACTCTTCGAAGAGTTTTCGCCCATCGCCTTCCACACCCACCAACCAGCCCCTGACATCCTGCAAGCCTGCAAAAGCGAGGTTCAAAACCCCTGAAAAAAAAAAACGTGACTGCGCCAAAACTCCCCCGCAACCTAACTTTCTAAACCCCCTAAACCCTAAACTTGAAACCCAAGACCGACAGAAGTCCGAGCACTAGTTGGATCCCTAGGGGGCGATACGAACTTTTACTCTTCAAGGTTCCCGGGGTTCAATGCTTGTAAGCTGAGGATCAGGGTTTCATTTCGGCCCTTACAATACCTGATTCTGTTTGAACACTGAGCCCTAGACCAATCCAAGAAACATTGAATTGAGCCGCAAAAAGGACTTCCCTCGACCCCAGCAACCTGGAAATACGGGCTACCCTAAACCCTAAACCCTAAACCCTTCCATTGCTGAAAAGGGTTTAGCAGGGGACTCAAGTCTGCAAAAAGAAAGACTCCCCCTGAATGCTACGACCTCAAACCAAAATCCTGTGCCCCCCAAGCTCTCACACTTCGGCCCTGAACCCGTGACTCCCCTTTTAGCCTTAATTTAATGAAGAAATCATGTTTAAACGTTCCCTTGGGTTATATAAAAAATAGAAATAACAGTAATTCCTAGGGGTGCCATAGGAACTCATCACTTCGTTCCTTCCTGGCCGAGTCTTGGCAAAACGCTTAAGCTTGCGTTGGCAAAACGTGGGTTTACAGGATTACCCGCGCAAAAGGTGAAGGTTGCCGGCTCAGCACCAACCTAGACTAGAGATCAAAGAAGAACAACAAATGTGTGCTGCAACCCTAACCCCTAAACCCCTAAACCCTAAACCCCTAAACCCTAAACCCTAAACCCCTGAACCCCTAAACCCCTAAACCTAAATCCCCTAAACCCCTAAGCCCCTAAACCCCTAAAACCCTAAACCACTAAACCCCCGCCGCCTGGCATCACCTTGTCCCTGCTCTGCGGCGGATCCGCCAGAAGCGTTTCCAGAATTCGCAGAAGCATCGAGGCAAGGTAGAGAGCCTAGAAGGGTTTAGGGAGGGTTTAGGGTTTAGGGTTTAGGGTTTAGGGTTTAGGGTTCAGGGTTCAGGGCCTGGGGCTGAGGGCTTACCTAGAACATCTGTCGCGAAGCAAAGCGCACGACAGAAGATCAAACCCTAAAAAACACCGTAAACCCATGACATGAGGAAGAATTCTGGGGCAGCAAAGCGACTTGAAGGTTCCGGGGCAGCTTTAAGTAGGATTACAAGTAATTGCAAAGCCTAGTACCTCCAACCACTACGTAGCACCCTAAACCCTAAACCCTAAACCCTAAACCCTAAACCCTAAACCCTAAACCCTAAACCCTATAAACCCTAACCCCTAGACCCTAGACCCTAAACCCTAAACCCTAAACCCTAAAACCCCAAGAACTAAGCCCCAAAGCCGGCTTACAAAGTCCTGAGCTGGCCTCCATGGACCGGAAGTCTCGCGAGGCATCCTGTTGCGTGGGTGTCTCAGGGCTTCGGGGGATTATGGGGTTTAGGGTTTAGGGTGATTACAGGTTTAGGGTTTAGGGTTTAGGGTTTAGGGTTTAGGGTTTAGGGTTTAGGGTTTAGGGTGTAGAAGCTCGGTAAATTTTATGTGGATTTAGGGTGTAGGGTTTAGGGTGCAGAAGCTCTATGTGGCTTAGGACTTTAGGGCAGGAGTTCGGTGGGTTCGGGGTTTGGGGGGTGAAGGGGGGGGGGGAGTAACTCGTTTTGGGAACCTTTTTATGGGCTTTACACGTCTCGAAGGCTGCTTTAACGGCGAAAAGGGTTCCAGGGTTTAAGTGTTGAAGGTTTATGAGTAGGGCTTGAGGGTTCAGGTTTGGGCGCCTTAATACTTGCTTGCAGTGGGGAAGGGGGGGGGGAGTGGCCGGATGTAGGTGCTCTGTACCTATTATAACCCTCAGCCACAAAAACCCTTTTGGGGCTCTGTCTCTCTCTCTTTTTGTCGCTCCGTTTCGAGTTTAGGGTGATAACACCTGAACCCCTCGTCCTTATCTTCATACGAAAGTCCCACCAGAAGGTCTTGAATGCAGTGCGTGTGGCTCCTGAGCCCTTTAGGATTCGGCGCTGAGGCTTTCGGTGTTAAGGTTCCGGTAGCTTTAGAGCTGCATGGGTTCTAAGGTTTAGGGTTGAGTCCTCCCTGCAATACACAAAATTTCCCACCTCCATGATATACATTCAGACATGACTTAGGGGTTCAGGGTGTTTGGTGGCCTTGGGATAGCAATGGTTGATCAGCACCAGCAGCCACGGCGTGGTACCATTTAGACCCTGAAATAGAAGGGCAGCGCACCGTGAGCCATTTAGGCTTTAGAGTGACATCTAGATATCGAGATATGCCAGCCATTTAAGGCTTTAGAGTGACATCTAGATATCTAGATATGCCCTGCAAGTGAGAGCACGGAATGACTCCAGTGATCCTTGGGATTCTTGGGTTGGATTGACGGCTCAGGCTTGGATCCTGGGAGGCTTACGTCTTCTCCTAAGGCGTCAGGGACCCCCAGGGGATCGGTGAGCCTCAAAGCCGACGTGCTGGCTTATGTTTGCGGGACCTTATAAACCCTAAACCCTAAACCCTAAACCCTAAATTAGAAAATCAGGTCGGGTCCTTGCTGCTCGGCCGCATCGCGCAGACCGCGTCAAAACGTTCCATGAGGCGTGCCACCTCCTTTTTTCGGGTTTAGGGCTTTATAAGGCTTCGAGTTTTTGTAGGGTTTAGGTTTTAGGGTTTCTACAGTAGTTCATGGTTGGGAGAATTTCAAAATTTCAAATTTATTTTACTTGTTGGGTTTAAGTACCCATAACAATGAAAAATGGTAGCCAGCAATGACAAAGGTGTAGGGCCCTTTTTACCGCAGGCGCAACTATAAGCGCAAGATCCAAAGCATCGATAATTTAGGGTTCATGTGCTCAGCTAGCTGCAACAAGTTATTGCTTTCCTAAGGAGGTTGCCATGAAACGGGACAAAATCGATCAACAACTGCCCATTTGTAGTACTATTTCAGAACTGTGTTGATTTAAGTATCGAGAAACCATACTAAAGAGGGTTTTGGTCTATCTAGAGGTCCATAAAAGCACAACCAGGTTGGCCCTAAAGCACTCTCTGAAAAACTCTTCCTGCATGCGATCCTCTTAACCACCCACAACGGACGACCCTACCCACACGACAGGGGGGCATCACTCTGGATAAGCCTTCGGGACTGAGCGTAAGCTGAAAGCTCGAACCTGGGGGGGGGGGGGGGGGTGGGAAACCTGTACTCTCCATTCGCTGCTCCACCTTTCAAGGGTTTAGGGTTGGCGGTTGAGATATAGAGAGCACAAGAATTCCTGAGAGCATGGCTGTACGGCCCTGCTTCGGCAGCCAGGATGCCAGTGTGGGAAGCCTCAAACTCGGCGCTTTGCACCGTCACCAACAGCTACACCCACAAATGTTACGGTTTTAGGGTTTAGGGTTTTTTGGGCTCAAGCCTATCACCTCTCACACACGCACGCCACCACTCACTACTGGGTTGCCGTCCTTGTTTCCCAAAACCTAAACCCTAAACCCTAAACCCTAAACCCTAAACCCTAAACCCTAAACCCTGACCCGAAGTCCCGCAGACCAAAGCAGTGTCTGGCCTGGCGCACCAATTGTCGAGCACTCGCTTGGCCGTCAGCGTCTGGAACCGTGCTAAGGGTTCTCTAGAGGTTCAGGGTTTAGGGCTCCAGAATTTGTTTTTCGGCCCCAGAACCTTCGGTTGATTTCGGGGCAGCCGAAGACACAAAGACTAGGCACTTGGAGACCCTCTTGGGTTCACTTATAGGGAGGCGCTCGCATGGGCGCCAGCTTTACGGAGTGCTCGTGCTCGTGTGCGTCTGTGTCTGTGAGTGTTTGTGTGTGTGTGTGTGTGCTTGCTTGCTTGCCTGCCTGCCTGCCTGCTTGCCTGCTTGCTTGCTTGCCTGCTTGCTTGCTTGCTTGGTTGATTTGTGACTTGTTTTGTTTGTTTGTGGGTTGGTTTGCTGGCTTTTTGGTTTGCTGGTGTGTTTGCATGTTCGTTCGTTTGTTGTTTGGCAACGGAGGCTAGTCCTAAACTCTAAACCCCAACCCTTATAAGACCAGGACCCTGTTCTGAGGAGAGGCCTAATCCCACCAGATGCCTAGCAAAGCGAAAGACCCCATCTAGAGCCGAAAACTCCTAAACTCCGAATGCGAAATACCCCTGCGCCCGAGAGTCCGATAGTGAAACCCCGAAAAGCCTCAACCCCCAAATCCTAAACCAAAAAAAGCCAAATCGCCCAAATAATCAAAAGAAAGCAAAGGCCGATCAACCCTAAACATACCTGCATAAGACACCCTAAGAACACTAAAGCCGAACATGCAGAAGCCTAAGAACCCTAGCAACCGCAAAACTCAAAAACCAAACCCCTAAGAACCAAAGCAAACCCAACAAACTACATAAACAAAAAGCCTAAAAGCGACAAAGAAACCTAAAAAACACCTGAATCGCGAACAACCCTAAAAACCGAGATAACAGTGTCGTAAAAAGTACGTAAGAACCACAAAGAACATGTTTGTTGTTTTGAACCAAGTCCGAAAAAGAAACCAAGAACCTTAGCCCCCAAAACCCTTGAGAAACCTCGCAAGACACCCAGAACAAGCCCAAGAAACCACCCAAGAATCTTAGAACCCCCCCCCCAAAAGCCCTGAGAACCTCTTGCAAACCCCCCCCCCCCCCAACAACAAAAAAAACATGACTCCTCAAATCCCCAAACAACAAAATACCCAAGCAAATACACCGAACAACCCAAAGGCCTCGGGGGTCAGGGCCACCACTCCGCAGCGTCCGAGCAGCCCAGGGCTGGCGGAGGCCAGCAGATCTGTCTCGAAGAGGAGCCTGGGGTTTAGAGTTTAGGGTTTAGGGTTTTTGGGTTTTAGGGTTTCAGGGTTTAGGGTTTAGGGGTTAGGGGTTTAGGTGTCAGGGTTTATTGGGGTTTAGGGCTTTAGAGTTTAGGATGTTCAAAATGCAACATTTTTTCATTGGCATGGTTAATTAATTCCAAGGTAGATTTGCAAAGTTGTTCAGGGTTTGGGTTTTGGGGGGTTTAGGGCTTGGGTTTTGAGGGCTTTGTTTGGCTATTGGGCTTATTGCAGGCCTTCCAAACTGCGTCGGGGTGTTCATTGCCCTTCCCACGCGGACACATCGTGGCGTAGCGAATTTTCTGTGGGCACGGGGAGAGAAAGCTCCAGTCGCAGCATCTCGCACGAAGGATGCGGGCTAAGGGGCTTTCGGAAGCTCGGGCTTAGGGTCGAAGGCTGAAGTTCAGGGTTCAGGGCTTTGGGTTTGGAGCATAAGAATTGCGGATTGGAACCCTACACCCTAAACCCTAAACCCTAAACCCTGGAGGTTCAGTGGGAAGGTGGTGGATGTAGAAGCTCGGCTGATGGTCGGTCGGGCCGATGAGTTTCGGATCCCCTGCCGCCCCTGTGGAGGCAGGCTCCAAAGCTAACAGTACGTGTATAGGGGCCCCTTGAGCTGGGAAATATAGGGGCCCTGAAAATTAGAATAGATTTGTTTTGTTCTTTGCGGGGGGGATGGGGGGGGGGGGGGGGGGGTGGCGGTACCCGTATTCTAGAAAAAAAACACCCTAAGGACCACAAGGGAATACGTTTTAGTCACTATTCCGACCCCTATACTACGGTCTCGAGTCACAAGGTTCGCCTTTGACTTTTCAGGAATTCTTCGTACCACAAAATGCTTTTCAAAGGTTGCCAAGATGTTAAAGGAGGCCACCTTTTGGACTGATTGTAGACTCTGAGGATAAGATTTCAACCCTCGGAGGGCCCTTAACACCCACCTAGATGGGATCCTCTGAAACCCAATAAGGCTCAATAAGGGAAGATGTCAGACATCCCAAGGAACCCTAAACCCTAAACCCTAAACCCTAAACCCTAAACCCTAAACCCTAAACCCTAAACCCTAAACCCTAAACCCTAAACCCTAGGAGGTGGTTGTGTGCTTAGGAACGACTTCAGGACTGCGAGCTCCTGCCATGCCTAGGTTCTATTGTATTGCAGGCCCACATGCATTCGGCACCCGGTGAGAAACTTTAGACCTAGCAACCCCGAAACCCTAAACCCTAAACCCTAAACCCTAAACCCTAAACCCTAAACCCTCAACCCTCAACCCTCAACCCTAAACGAGTTCTTGCCTCGTCTCCTGCAGCTGCAGTGCCGCTCCCGAGAGATCGTGGACATCTGCAGATGTCAAGTGCCACTTTGGGTGTGGGCGGTGAGGTTGAAAGTGGATCCTCAGATACCCTAAACCCTAGACCCTAAACCCTAAAAAGAAAGGACGGCTCCTTAGGTGGGTTTCTGAAAGATCCTGGGACAACAAAGCTGCCACGTTCACACGATCCCCGAGAGGCCCTCACTTCTTTCGTTCGGGCAGGTCAAGCAGCATGAGCTTGCGTCATGCACCTGAGTACCTACAGCAGGCTCAACATGTGCATGCTGAGCTATGCACTCACATCCGACGCACGTATCCGAAATAATCAAATGTGTCAGACGTCGCTGGGCTGGCCGCCTCCGAAGCGAGATCTTTTTAAAAATATTTGTGGCCGCGTTGGCTTGCAAACAAAACTACTGCATCCGCCAAGTTGAGATTGCCCCGCCCGCCAAGAAGCAAACGAACCACGCATGAGCCTCTGTTCTTCTGCTGTCGTGGACGTTCTTTGGCGAGCCACCGTCCCTACGTTGCAGTACACACTGAGGGCAGCGACTTCTGTCAGGGTGTGTATGGACAGTGAAAGGATACTCGGATATTCAGCTGCAGACCGTTGCATAATGTAAGCTAAAGTATTTAGGGTTTAGGCTTTAGGGTTTAGGGTTTAGGGTTTAGGGGCAGCTAAAGCCAGAAGCGATTCCATAACCCTGACATTAACAGTGGGGGCTGCTATCGAGGCACGCCAGCGACATATATGGACGGCTTAGGACCCTCCCGCCAAAATGGTCCAGCTAGGACTCGGAAGCACAGAAGAATACGATCATGTGCGGGGGTTCCATGTCTACCAGAATTTGGACTTAACTTAGAACGTGGGTTCTCAGCCCGCCCCCGCAACGAAACTGGGTGTCCAGCTTTTCTTCCCAACCCCCTCCTCCCCAATCGGCAACTAAAGAGAGGACTAGAACTCGCATGCTCCTCGGCCCGCGGCAGAACCCTAAACCCCACAAAACCCCCACCAGCCCCCCCTCCCCCCCCGCCAAATTAGGGTTTAGGGTTAGGGTTTAGGGTGTAGGGCTTAGGGTAACACCCCGCCTGTCGAATCGAGCAGTCCATGCAGCCCCTCCGACCAGGCCCTTGGGTCTCCGATATGCAACGACTAGTGCATGGCATGTCA